CACATAATAGGTTGCTGGAAGAGAGAGCACTCAAAGAGACCTTCGTTCACTCAAGTCAAGGAGAAATTAGTAGAAATACAAAAGACAGAGTTTCTGTACACTTCGGATGAAGAATTCAAATCACTTCAATCAACTTGGAAGAAGGAAGTCAAGATGAAATTTAATGATCTTAAAAAAGTCGAATCGGTAAGATCCTGCTTATTACCTAACTGCTAGTAACCTTTTAACCCACTAGGAAGTTGAAAACAAAGAGAAACATTTGATACAGCAAATGAAACTGCAGGAGGAAAGGGTAATAGCAATGAAGAAAAATTTAGAGGAGAAGGAGCAAAGTCTTGTGGATATGATGGATAAAGTTCAAAAGCAACTTGAGATCATTGCAAGAGAGAGGGAGGTAAGAGGCATCATGTTCCAAGTAGTACATTATCATGATTGTTTAATCATTTGACAGAAAAGACCACCAAGAACAAAGAAGTTTTTTCCCCGTAAGATGCTCGAGTGGTTAACAATGTCATCAAGAGAGCAAAGACGCGCTAAAGCTACTGATAATAAGCTACCAAGCAAAACTATTGAACGTAAGTGAAAACAGTATGTACATGTTAAGTATAGGCTGTAACTAACTATAGTACATGTACATATTTTACCGCCTCAATTTGTTACATATTGTAGCGATTGGGCTCGATCCACATATGATGAGAGGGAGTCACCGCTCATCTCTGCCAGTCATTCATAAGAGACAGGGATCTGATGTTTCTTCAGGTATGCATGCACAAACATACATTTACACTAGTTTAAGGTATGCACAGGGACATTCGAGTCTCATATTTGTTCTAATCATCAGTTATTAGTGGTTCAATGATAGTGCTGATTGACCTTTGTTATCACACTTGAGTAGTGTAACTGGATCGTGCTAATGATTATAACTTTATGCTCTCTCTATTTCTCTCTAGATGCATCAGACTCTGTGTTCCAAAGGAAACCACTTCAGAAAAGAGGCTCATCACTGAGACAGTCTCGTAAAGACTTTGATGAAGCTGATTATGATTTGAGAATAAGATCAGACAGCGAGCCACGCAAAGCATATGGCTCTTATGCTTTACCCCCTCCACCAAGTTATGGTAAGAAATTGCACTAATGTACATATCATAATAAATAATTTAAGACTAGCATTATAGTAGAAGATATTGTATAGCAATATGTGCTTAGCATTAGAACACAACAAAACAGAAAGTAAACAGATAAAATTACATTATCTATGATCACTATGCCAATATTTATTTAATAATAATCCATCATGATAACATCCATGTGCACAACAACACTTTAACAATTTTTATTTCCTTATAGAGACCAACAATCCGACCAGTTTAGCTCCTCCTAAAGTAGTCCCACCCAAACTAGGCGGAGGACCAATAACAATCAGTCCGAGAAGGTCTTCTGATCGTAGTCCAGTTATTAGTCCAAAGAACCTCTCTAGGTCTGATTCAGCTCAGTACTCTCAGGACTCTGGTAATAGCATGAGCTGCTCTGATCCTTCGGGTGGGAGTAATGAAGTACCCAATCTTATAAACTTTGAGGCATCCTCAACAGTAGTCCGCCAAGAAAAAAGATCAGTGGCCGATGAATATGATCCTTTAAAAAACGATAGTTGGGTCGGGACCCCTACAAAGCGAATAACAGGAGTAGTATCCACTACATCCATGGACTCTTTGTTCAGCGATACTTTTAACTCAATGACTACAACCGCCAGTGGAGGAGGGTTCTCTATTTCTCCAGACACTAACCAAATTTCACCCCGCTCCTCACTTACAGCGTCTACAACCATCGTCAGGAGCAACAAGCCCCTCCCTCTATCCGATCAAGCAGCATTCATGCATCAGAGCTCCCTCCCTTCCTCTAACACTTGCCCCAGTCCAAGTATTGCTAGACCACGCCCCCGTAGTGCTCGTAATTCTGTAGATCCTACAGATAATATTAGTGCGCCTGCATCACGTGCAATGACTCCTAAATTATCCCGTTCCTCACCAAGTGGTTCTGTACATAGCCTACCACCTTTTAATGCTTTCCATGATACTGATGTGAATGATTTTTATCCATTCTTTTCCGATAGTTCAAATAGCTCTAGTCTCTATGAGTTCTCTATGTTTGAGGATACGGTAGATGATGGTCTTACTATGAAATTTAATATCGAGTCTTTTAGTCCACCTAGCCTTGAGCCCACAGTGCCTCCATCATCATGAAATAACAGCTAGGACATTAGACCATTTATTATTATTATTATTATTATTATTATTATTATTATTATTATTATTGTTATCATTATGCACTCACTCAATGTATCTATTTTGTGTATTGTGTGTAGATATTTTATGTCATCAATTAATACTGCTACTGTAAATGTCATAATAGAGACTAATATTTAATGCAGACTGATAAGGCTCATCCACCAACGAGCAATGTTTTGGTTATAAAGTATTTGTTAACATGTAATGGAGTGGTAATATGATCATAATTATTAGCTAAGTATGCAAGTGTTGGCTGACATAGGAAATTTCTTAATGAAGTCAACTGGCTGCTTTAATCTTCAAAGATGCATCTATTTATTATGCTTTTTGTCCGCATTCACATATCACAATAAATATATTCACGAGTGATAAGTGATGACAGATTACTGCGAATGATGAATGATGATCTAGTTATGATGTCAGGCAGAGTCCAGACTGAAGGTTGGACAGCTTCACAGCTAAGCTTGTAGTTCTATTCATGAGATACATTATCTCATAATAATGCTACTTCTAGGGATTGACAAACAGTTGTATAAAACTTTTATATTGTCATGTATTAAAAACAGCAAGATATAAATAATATTTAAAACAAATGTGGTTGTTTTTACGGTACTTACACTATTCAATTATTTTAAAGTCAAATCCCAAAATGTCTCGATAGCCCAAAAAGGAATGCTTGGCCTTGATAGGTGTAATATCATGCCAGAGTTCTTTATCATCTTGAAATATAAATTCCCCTTCATCCAATTGAGTTTTGTAGATTGGTTTGCGCTGAAAATCATATATAACTGAGTGTCCATTTTCGATGTTGTGCCTGTTAAGAACCAGAGCTGAAACAATATAATCAGCACCATCCTGGTGTATACCTTCAGGTGAATTGTCAGCATGAAACTCGGGATAAGACAAGAGTCTCACTTGATGTGTTGAGAGGCTTAGCCGGTAAATATTAGGTTGATGGTAAAGAGTTAGAGCTACCATTTGCCCCATCAAATGGTAAAAGTCCTTGTCCAACACTTTTGGTTCCATTGGAGAAAAGACCCGGACTTCTTTTCTTGCATCTTGAACATCTTGGCTGAATTGGTAGTTGTCATTAAGGAGAAACCTGAACTGGTGAGGGTTGACAATTTGTACTTCAAAATTTTGATAGCGTCTGAAACGAGTTGGAGGCAAGTTTGCATGCAGAGAACTCCTGGAGGCAGGGAATGCTACTTTGTCTATTGGTAAGTTTTGGTAAGACAGCCTGAGTTTGGAGAATAGCCCAAGGCTGGAGCCAATATCTTGCAATGTGAATTTAGAAAATAATTTTTGCGATGATAAGTTTTGGATTGGACCCCAATTGGGTTTTACAAGAGTAGCCATGGCTTGTAGTGTGGACTGAATTAAAGCACTTGCCTCAGTGGTCAATGTAGTTGACTCTTGAATGAGCAGACTAAAACTTTGCAGCTTAAATACTGAGATCTACGGAAAATTTAACAAAGTCGAGAGTAGAGAGCCCTGATTAGCAGCAGTAGATTTTAAATCTGTATGAAGGGGATAGCTCATTATATAACATAGATGACGTATAATACTGTATCTCGCCATACATCGTGTTAATTTGTCCGCCTTGGCGCCGTCTAGAAAATTTGAGCGTAGGGCTGACAATGTTTTCAGTCGTTAAGCCAACCAGACATAATGAGTACTACGGTTACGTATAATTATAGTATTAATTATTATCTATGTCATAAGCGCCTGTATAATTTTATTGTAATACACTTGACAGTATGAATAATTAATAAGTTGCTACTTTATTTATATTAACTTTGCATTTAATAGTTTTACTATGAAATTTGCCTACAATACACAGAACATGCATATTTATCACCATAAAAAACATCAACCAATTTAAATAAACTATAACAGAACTGCAAGCACTAACTGATGTCTTTGACTTTCCCGGATGCATACAGTGTTCTAGACAATCCCAGATTCTTGTCCATTTTTTACAATAAAATCGTAGCTAGAAGAATATACTTCAGAATTTTAAAGTTGTTCCAGCAAGAAATAAGGATGCTGTGGCCTCTGAAAGTCAATAGCACATAATATGACTATAATGACAAGTATAAAATCTAGCTCTAAAGTATTTCAGACAATTTTATTGAGGTAAAATGACTTAGTTAATGATCCTGAGTGTGGAATCTGTAGAAAAAAGGAACTAAACAGTGAAATCATGGCATGAAAGAATGGACCATGCTGTTATGCTTTTAGGCAGCTCCAAATTCCGCCTAATTATGTTTTGAATAAATCCAATTATGCTCATTACTATGGTCATATTTTAAGCTTTACTCAAATATCGACTATCAAGATTGCATAGATTTTTAGCATAATTTTACCATAGATATCATTAACAAACGAAAACACTACAAAATCTACAAACTACAAACATTACAAACGTAATACACTATAATTTTACGTCGTTTATAACAATAATATAATGGTTGTTAGTGGGAGGGGCATGTCTATAAACATGGCTTCTCACTCAAAAGAAGATGTGGAAGATTTGGACTACATGTCTGACTTATTCATTGCAGAAATTGCTAAGGCCAAGCCTAAGAGACCCAGTGCACCTAAAAGACTTCAGCAAAAAAAGAAATCTTTCTCAAGGAAAGGTTCTAGTGGTAAATTGGAACAGCAAGCCAGAGAAGATGGTCTAGCCAAGCCTATTTCAGTCGAAAACAAAGGCTATTCGCTGTTATGCAAAATGGGGTATGTGGAAGGAGAGACTTTAGGAAAATCAGGTGTGCACCTTCTGCACTACATGTAATAATTTGTGCAGTTAATGTATTTTTGTTAATTAAAAATGATTAGGATCTGGTGGTAGAGTTAATCCAATATCAGTGACAGTCAAAGAAGGTTAGATAACACATCTTGGCATGTGTGTGTTTCATCCAATCCCACTAAAGATAGATTAGGATTGGGCCGTGAAAGTTTTATCAAAGAAAAAGACGAGAAAGAGAAGGAGCTTCAAGATAAGCAATTGTCGGATTTTCGGCATCATTGCCTCTCACAGTCGGCACAAAGAAGGATAAGGAGTGACTTAAAGAAGAGCAGACAAACTTGTGAACATTTGGATACTATCAATGTATGATTATGGGGTGAGAGGAAAAGAGAAGGGAGTGCTCAAAAATTTAGCCAAAGTCCTAAAGCAGCATTATTTTTAGACGCTCGTAGCTTTGTGATCAGAATAGATTTCAAACTTTTTAAGCATGTCAATACCTTTGCCACTTTTTTAGTAATTTAAATTATAAATTTTTTTAGGTAATATCTCGAGCTTTGAACCAATAGGATTTGCATGTTTTCAGTATAGATTTCATACTACATTAATTACATTTAAGCTAGATATTAATTATTAATCATTAATAGTATATTATTATTTTGTAATAGGGATATTCAGAGCCCATTGCTAGTTGGTACTGGCTAAGCACATGTGCAGCTGAGGAAAGAGAAGTAGCTGAAGAAAGTGACGAAGAAGCTCCACCAAACGTATCAAGAATACTTATTAATTGTTACATTATCATGTTTCATGATTTTATTATAATAGGATGAAGAGCAATTGCAAGTATTAATAAATTATCTTCGTAGCCATTATTTCTATTGCCTCTACTGTGGTTCAGAGTATGCTAGTAAGTAGTGTACTAATGTTGTGCATTTTATTGTGTACTCTCTTGTAGGTGAAGAAGAGTTACTGAGAGAATGTCCAGGGAATGAATGGGAGTCTCATCAATCATGAGAATCATTTTAAATTTGTATAATCTGTAATAAAAAACAAATCTATAATTATAGAACCTATTCCATTTTTACTTACATTTCTGTGGAAAGTGTTTTCTTTTCTTGTACATGTCCAAGTCTTTTGGTCCAGAAAAATTCATCGATGCTACTCTGTCTTCAAAGACTGACTCTTTTGTAAAGTTGAATGCACTGCTCTTGAATGGATCCTTGACGTGCTTCCTTTCTGCTCTTGTCCACTGTTGGTTAGAGTTGCATTCTACCATACACCAGCTCTCCACGTTCATGATTTGCTAGCTCGTCCTGAAATAAGACGCTGCATGAACGTGGGTGGGTGTTCGCTCGTTGGCATGGTAACTGTGGGCGGGAGTTACCATAGTAACCAAGTACATGTAACAGGATATACCACGTGCTTTCTCATGGCTTATTCTCGGGTTGTTGTATTTGGGGATGTTCTCTACAAATTAAAGTATCAGTGCAAGTAGGCTGCCTTATTTGTATTTTGCGCTTCATATTTCTTTTTTCCTCTTAGTAACACGAATGATGAGTACTTATCCCTTCAGAACATACATGATGAGATAGTTGTAAGCCTTTAATATTAATTTTTTATTCTAATTATTCCTTTTTTTCAAGGACGTGACTCGTGGGATACTGTATGTGCTACAAAGTTCATCTCGGCTTGAGCCATTATGTGGTGATCACATAACTATATTTCCAAGTATACGTTATACACATTAAGCACGGTGTTGTGTTCATTATTCATAGGTTTTCAGAGCTGGCCTGAAGGGATGGATTTGGAAGCATTTGAAAATGATAAAAAACTTAATATTCATCCAATGGCTGTTGTACTTGCTGTATATGTACATGTACAAAGCAGCAGTAGTCCTGCTTCTAGATATCATGGTAATTCAGGCTTAGATTTAGTAGGAAAGCTGCCCTTTAAAAGAAACCATTGTATAATAGTTATTTATGTTCATTGTAAGGTTTGGGATTATTCTTGTGGTTTAATTTACAGAAGAGTTTAACCTAATGCAATCTGCAAATGTAATATGGTATACTATTGCTCAATAATTTACTATCGGGCTATCAGTGTACATGCGTAAGCTAATTCTTGTAGTAAACAATGTAAGGATATGGTCTCATACTCATTCATATGTACATGTAATGGGAAATTCGCAATTTATGCAGTATTGTAGTGTATATATGCATTACTATAAATTTATAGTCTTCAATTTTTTTAATTGCCATAATACTTTGTTATATTAGTCAATGACATTATGGATTGTATTATGACACTAAGAAATGTCCTTTGCTTGATAGAAAATTGAAGTTAAGTAGTTGTTCTAACAAATGTTGTACTAGATGTACATGGCACTTATTTTTTGAACAATTTTTAAATTTATTTTACATGTACATGTATAATATATAGGTATCACTCGTAAGAGACAGCGTAGAGTAGAGGAAGTTGGTGATAGTTCAGACAGTGAGTTCTCTGACAATTCGATACATCTTGAGAAGAAAGTACTGCCCAGACCCAGTAAAAGGCTAAAGAATGAATCAGGAAGAGCTGGTAAGTTTTAAAAGCACATGTATGCAACATCTAATGTAGGTGTTCATTGTCTAGTACCAAGGATTCACAAAACTTCTGCTCGTAAAGTGAAAGGCAGTGTCAGCTGGTTGGCAAGACTAGCAAGGTAGTTTATACGATAATTAGAATCATTTTTGAAGCCATTTTTTGGATAAAAGCATGAGTTATAGTACAGGGATTTTTTTAGAAATTGGCCAATTTTAAAAAATGGTCATAACTTGAAAATTTGAGCTCGGAATCGGCTCAAACTTTCTACATAGCATAAGGACATCATTATGTATCAGAAAACATAATAAAAGTTTCGGGTGATTTTGGAACCATTTAAAATTTATTTGTCATAAATTGGCCCATCTTTTAGATGACCATGCATAATTTTGCTAATTTTTATTTGCACGTAATATACTAAACTATTAGTTCTAATGCCCACGTATTTTGTATCTTTTTACTATTTTAGCTTTTTCTTTGGTGAGACAACATAATGAATGAATAAAAAAATAAACTGAACATTACACATCGGGAAAACACTGACAGAAACAAGAGACACACACACACACGTGTTATATAAGTAACAAAGTTAATAAATATTAATATAATGTTGCATGCCATTATTACGAGTCCATGTATGATGCACACAAAATGTGAACTATTAATATAATGATAATAATAATAATAATAATGATAATAATAATAATAATAATAATAATAATAATAATAATAATAATAATGAGAGGACAATAGGGGGAGGAAGATGAGTTATAGGATTAGCGGTTGGTGTTTGAATGTGATGTGCCACTCTGGCGGTACTTGTGGTGTTTCTGCAGGAGACCCACCATCAGTCCTTGTGGGGGAAGCAATTGAATTAGGAGGTGAACTGGCAGACAGTTTGCTACAATGAGAAAATAAAAGAGTATGAGGTAGTGTTTCTTTCTAAGTAGTGCAGTATGTCAAAACAGGATCATTGTTAAGTGTGTAGTTCATTTTTATGCATACATATTTTGCTTTATGATATATATCTATAGGATCATGAGGACTACGTGCATGAGCACAATAATAATTGATAGGAAATTTGTTCCTGTTTACTCTACGCATTTTAATTATAGTATACTTGTAGTATTCTCACCGATAAGGAGAGTTTGTGAAATTGAGCGAAGGTCCTTTCTTCTTTGAGCACACATCGCAATAATGGACCAAGTCCTTAATGACGGTGTGTGGGAAAGAGCCAGCAGTGAAGACTCCACACTCTGCAACCTTTTCATCGCTAGTTCCTTGCTGCATTGACACAACTATATCAGAAAAGGAGACGTCAAATTAAAATAATAATGTAACTTCCAGATGTGAGGAGTGAAATTGGAAGCATGCATGCACATCATGGAAAAATAGTAAAATTGCGGAAGCACGTCATTGAAAAATTGAATATTTACATGTTTGTTAACCAAGGCATATAATGACTGTGTATGGTATTCAATTGCTGACTTACAATCTAATAGTGATTCAAAGTCAGGCACGCCGTAAGACGTGTTGGCATAAAGTTTGCTCAGTTGAGGCTGAGAGGGTCTCCTGACAGAGAGAGCTGGTCCTCCAGTCTTGAGCGCAAGATGAAGGAGAGCAGATGCCAGCTCGTCCGGTGGACTATCAATATTAGTAAGGAATATTCTGATATCAAGATATTTCTGCAAGTGTGCATCTTCAATGAGCTCACTAAGGAAATCAGTAAACCACTGGATAAAGGGAAGAAAGAGTCATTCACTGGATCAATCATACAATAATGGAGTACTTACTTCATTGTCGTTTCCACTAGGTGTTACCCATACAAAGTACATTTTGGTAAGCTTTGGATGTAAGCTACGAAAAAGAGAAAGATATTTTGTCAATATGGTGCTGCAATATGATTCACAGATGCTCTAACTTACCCACAAGGACATGATGCTCCCTTTCTTCTGTATTGGAGGAATTTTTGGATGATGCTGCGGCAAGTTGGCAGCCCAGCACCTCCTGCTCCGCAAAGCAGGACTATAGCTTTGTAGTCAAAAACGTGATCAACGCCAGGACCAAATCTATAAGTATATGATAAGGGAAAGAATAATGAATGTAGCTGAAGTGAAAATATGTCATTTGTTATACATGTATTCTTATATCAAATAGTTTTCACAGGACTAATGTGTGTGTGTGATGCTCACGGTGTAGTGATGGTAACTGATTGTGAGCTTGGTTCTCCGTCCTGTGGCTTGATCGGGTTCTCCTTGTAAGTCTGATAGACTCTCTCTAGCCAGCCGGAACCAGTGTGAGGAAAATAAAGTGTCAGCGTCTACATAAGGAAAGACAATCAACACCATAATACCTTCTACAAACACCATTACCTTCTCCTTGTTTGTGTTGCTCACGTAGCAAGGCTGCCATTTAAAATACCCTACAAACAAATAGAAAAGCTTTTAAACCAGGAGTATATAAATATTGAAAGTTTTTACAGGAGGCACTGTGGCTCCTAACCCACACTCTCTCATTTATCTTGCACTCATTATCAAATCTTACCAATCTGTGGCATGTTTATGAGGAGATGCTGTCCTTCGATAAACTTGTAATGAGTCGGTTTCTGTATCTCTAGTTTAGTCGTCCTGGATTGCTCGTCGTAAGGAGACGACTTGAGAATCTGAACAGTGTAACGGGGGACAACCCAGCGGAAGTAGGCCCTCTCCAATCCATATACTAGTATGACGGGTAGAAGCCATTTCCAGAAGGACGGATTGTAGTAATCAATCCCGTGAATGAGGAGTATCATGTATAAAGCCACAAAGCCTATCCAGTGAATTAGATTGAATCCAATAAAGAGACAGAGCTTTGAGAGACATTTGAAGGAAGAGACTGACATTACCAAGAGTATTAGTATCAGTATCCCTCCAGTTATGAGTGGCATTAGGTGAGTTTGTACGTTGTCAGTCAAATTGTCTGCTAGCGTTGAGTTTTCTTCTACCCCGTCAAAAGCGAATGAGCAGAGATGGGTGACTGTGTGTATCAGGGTCAGACCAAATATGACGAAAATGATGAAGAGATGAAAAAACAAACTGTCTTTTAATGGAAGCACCTAAGAATAAGGAATTAAATATATAAATCCTTTCCTCTCTCTCTCTCTCTCTTACTTTATTAAGCCATGGACTCCCCCTCATGTTCTGTATCAGTGACTTCATCATTGGGACTAAAACAAGGACAAGGTTGAAACTCAAAGCGGGTCCTGTCCCGTATGCCCACTGCCCCCATCCACTGTTAGATGTGCTCAATACACCAATCAACATTAGGAGGACATTAACAAATAGGTATGTCATTCCCCAACCGATTGACGTTACGTGAGATGAAAGGAAATTAGCTGCTTGACCGCTGCACCTCTTTGTTGCTTTGATGTTCTTCCTCTCGGAGGATTTCGTTTTGCCATATTTGGCAATGAATCCAGAGTCACTGATGTACAATCGGTGCTTTACTAGTAGCTCGATGAGATCCACAAATTTTATTATTCCGGTTTCGTCAGCATCGGCCGCTTTCATGATACCGTCAACCATAACTGTGATATCTTCTGGAGGAACCTGTAGAGGAGCAGAGATAAACAAGTGAGTAATTGTATTTTAATTTGTTAGTTGTAAGTGCACTACTACACAGAGAGCATTGCTATGCTTGTTAGGCTACTATTCTTAATGATTAACTATTTCATGAGGGAATTTATTTACTTCGAACTGTGTTCCTTGGAGGCTGGTCTTTAATATCTTTATCAGCTCATTCTGTGGAGGAAAGGGAGAAAGAAAGGATGCCATTATGTTCATTGATATCCCCCCTAGGACCCCTACACACTTCCCCCTCCTCTCCATTCCTCTTACTCTGTTAATGTGATCTGCACTCTTCAGTTTGTGCGCTAGCTTCATCTGAGCTCCGATAGCCATAGCCTAATGCAAGGAACATGATATCGTCTTATGCTAATAATCCCACAAACCTTTTGCTGCTTTTCCCTTATCTCCACATCAGAGCTGATGCTGCTCACTGAGAGATGGCGTGTGAGTCCCTTCACTTCAGTGATGATGCCAGTATAGAATATGTCCTCCTCGATGACGAAACTCGTGACCACAACCTCGACCTCAAACTCCTTGCCAGTTTTAGAAACACCAGAAACCTGATAGTAATAATAATATTTTTAGAGAGAGGAAGAGAGAAAGGCCAGATCATCATGTCACATGTTTGTGGTTTTGTGATCATTATCACTTCAGTGATCCAACATTGTTTGTTGGCACTGCTCCAGGACTTGAAGTACTTGCTAATTAAAGGCACTTTGTAGTATTCACACACAATCTGGTTATGGTCAAGTGGACTTTAATTAAATTTAAAGAAGTGGCACATGCAGGCACTCTGTCTTATACTCTTCTCTCCCTCACTCAAGTACGGACTGTATATAATCATGAATGTATTCTTTCTATTGAAACTCACCGAGTAAAGTCTTGCATGTTTCTGCTCCTCAGGAGCACAATGATGCTTCCTTTAACATTAAAATACAATAATTTACTCTCATATTACAATGACTCCAAACCTTATATATTCAGTGGCTCTATCTGTCCTACCATTGACTCCATTCTGATGCTTTTCTCTGAATCTGTGCGGCATTATAATTTGTAGTGAACTACCAATGGCCTCTCCTGGAGTATATCCAAACATTTTCATGGCACCGGCACTCCAAAACACAATCTCTCCTGCCGCATTGGCACAGATGATGGCATTATCTGACATCTCCATTACAGAGCGTAGAGTATTGTCAACCATAGCTTGCCTAGTGATGTATATAATTATTATTATTATTGAGATTTAAGGGCTGGTATTTCAGTATCATAACTTAAAAATGAGCAAATGTTTAAAGCAAAACAAGTATATACATGTAGCCCCATCGGAAAGTACAATATAATTTTGCTTACTTGCGTCTGAAACTAGCATTCCTTGATAGTCCTCTCTGGAGTCCTGGTCTCCTTGGTTCTTGCTGCTGTGGTGGAGCCTCATCAGGCAGTTTGAGTCTGTCTTCAATGTCAGTTGGGGCAGCAGTGTATGCATTCTTCCTTGTCCTCCTCTGGCCAGCAGCAGGTAGAGACGAATCAGAGAATCCAGATCGGCTCATTGGACAGCGTCTCGGGAAATTATCAGGAGAGACTTCTTTCCTTTGCTTTTCTTCCTCGTCACTGGTGCTGTCCTTACGAGGCGCCTCTTTATTGGGAGAGCCTTCGTTGAACCCTGTGCTGTTCTTTGTGGTAGAGCTGCTCGATTGGAGGAGAGGCGAAGGCGTAACAATGACAGGTGGCCCCGATTGCTGCTGCTCTAGTGGGAATATCTCATTAACTCTTTTGTGTGCTCTCTCGGAGTGACGTGTGATGCGGAGTGACCCTCCACTCGAGGCAATGCTGTTGAGACTAAACTGTGAGTCGCATTTGCCTTCCTTTCTTCCTCTGATGTCAACCTCAGGCGACTCACCGTCAACAGAGCACGAGTCATCAGAGCTCTCTTCATTTTCGCTGCTTCCACTGCTCAAGTCATCCTTTGCTTCGTTGTAGTGGTTTGCCAGTTGATTATTGAATCCAAATTGAGTCGTGTTGTCCTGAGGCGTGTACGGTACGGGCGGAGTGAGCTGTGCTGCTATTGCTACTGGACCAAAGTGAACGTTGGAAATTTTTCTTTGAGGCATGTTCCCACCACCTCCTCCTCCTCCTCCTGCATTTGGCTTAAGTTTCAGCTCAAGCATATCCACGGACTTCTTTCTCACCATTACAAACTTTTCCTTTTCAAACGGGTCGCGGGTGAGTTTTGAAGGAGGCAGAGAGTCTCGTCTAGTAAGCGTCACTTCGTCTTTCCGATAGTGACAGCATGTATTGAGTGCAGACTCCTCATCATCCTCTCTCATGGAACTTCCTCCTCTCTTAGCTATGACAAATATGACCATCAAGACAAAAGTCCACACGCCGTATAGTATGGTAACATAGTTGGGAACATCAGGTAATATTGATAGACCCTATATAGGAAGAAGAGAGAATGAAAATATGGTCTATTTGAGGAGGCTCAAAGAGATGCTTCAAAGGATTATTATTATTCATGTCCTTGTTATCATACAATGTGTTACATGTATCTTAATTAAAAATGATTTGGCATTGGCTCTATGCACAGTCAAGATTAACAACAATGGCAAGGACAACAACAATAATAAGGAGAATTATTGCTTACCAAGAATATATTGAAGATTCCAGAGAAAACAGCAACAAGTCCAAGCCTCTTGTGCCAAAGTGTCACTAGCTTCTTCCACTTTTCTCTTACCGGTGACATGACAGAGAACTTGAGCATAGGAAGAGCAAGGACAGCAATGACCATAAGGATGAGTCCAAAAATTGTGTGCAATCTATCAAAGTGAGTGCTTTTGTTGAGTTCTTTGTAAACTACAGCTAAGAGGAGCCCAATAATGGCCAGTATTAGTCCTAGTGGCTGGACTATCATGTGAATGATTGGTTTCTTCAAATTTGCAAGAAGAGCTCCAAGAGGAAGTATTGCAGCAAAAGTCAGGACCATCACAACGGCATGAGCATATATTATCTCTTTGTGGTTTACTTCTTCAACAGTCTCTGTTCCATTGCTCAGAACTGTGATGGTTGCAAGCAATCTGCTGCAGTCCTGGTTGCAGTATAACTGATAGACACCAGTTTGGTTGAATGTGTGGACGTGATGGGTGCTCCCTAGATAAACATAAAGGATGTGGCTAACACTTATGATATTCCCTCAAGATTCATTTGTATGGTGGGATGGTTTTTTAACTTAAAAAATAGTTTACCTGAATCCATGAAAAATGTTGAAACTGGTTCCCCAATGCAGCCATCAGCCTCCATGACTAATCTAATCCTAGAGCAATTTAGATCTTGGGTTGCAGACCAGTGGATCATTTGACCTCTTTTAACAAGGAGATCCTGAATGCCACAGCTGGAGCAGAGGCCAACCCTGTACTGAGAGCTAAGGACTGTCAAACCATCATCATCATCACTGCTGTTGCTGCATGAAGGATATGGGAAGACTCCAGGGAGGCTGAAATACGTACCTGCAGACAAAGAGAAAGGCATTTTAATTGCGTCCTTTCTGGCATAGGCAGGAGACAAGCTTTTGTGAGCATGAATGCTAAACCATGGCTAAACTCGGCTTGGTCTATGGCCTTGCTAAATTAATTTGTCAGCGGCGCTCTTACCATTCGCTGTTCCATTGCTCCCTGAGCAGCTCCCGCTACCACTGCACTGGACTTTGTCACCGATGAGAACATAGCTGCCTTGACTACTGCAAGACTCTGGAAAAGGAGAGGGGAAGGTAAAAAAAATCTACACATAGCATTTTCACTCAACCCGCGCATGTGACGGGTCATTCTTTTCTAGCCTTACCAAATTGCAAATTTCCACAAACTCTGTAGCAGCAAAGAAAAAAAGCAGCAGCTAGCAGTGCAGCTATTCTTTCCATATCCCTCCTCTAAATTGCAGTTTTATCTCTGAGAAATCAGATTTCTCTCAACATACAACCACGCTTTTATAAGCTTGTATTATTAATCGTGAACGCCCACTAATTACACAGCCACGCCCATTAGGAAAATGTCCTCTTCTTCTTCAAAATTACTTCTTTCTGAAGAAGGAGAGCTCTCAAAGCTTTCAGAAGAAAAGAAAAAAGTCTCCGTCCTCCAGTGGCTGCAAAACCTGCCCCAAACAATTCAAAAGACTTCCAAGGTAAGTTTTGTACATGATCCAATGGGTGTGGCTTAAACCAATACACAACTACCCTTCTTGTAATAGGCTGATTTGAAAGCAAAACAGAAAGAGCTGGTGGGTCAGTTGTGCAGCTATGGTTTGCAAGGCGGACTCTCGCCTCCTCTTCGTACATTGCTATCATCATCATTTGTGTGTATATTCAATGAAGGAACCACAGTAGGTCTGATGGAATCAGTGAACAAATGTATCGAACTCTTAAAGCAAAGAGATGACGGAGCCATCACTAATAAACAGTAATTGAGTTTGCATCTCTTATATATAATGTCTTTATTCTTCTCTAGTACTGCTATTGTGTGTGTTGGGGCAATCTTTCGTCGGCATGGAAGAATGGCAAGTTCATAATATACACATGCAATGTTTGTTTGTCAATATGATGATCAATTCTAATCAACGCATGCCTCTTGATTAATTTTTTGTCTTCTCATTAGTCCTGTAAACACTCTACAATAGCATACATCGCATGCTTATAATTAATTTAATGTCAAATGTTTTTGTTATTATTATTATTATTATTGTTATTATTATTATTATTATTATTATTGTTTTTATTATTATTATTTTGGCCCATAGGCTGGTAGCTTATTCCTAGAAGTGGTACAAGGATTGTTGAAAGCAGCCAAACTGATAGAGGTAAAACTTCCTAACAGTCTAATAACAACAAAAGTGTACATGTACATGTACACGTACATAATGTAATTATTAATGACTGGCCAGCTACATGTACATGTACATGTAGTTCCAAGAATCAAATGTTTACTTTACTTTAAACTTTTGCCCTCTCGTACATTCATTAGTTTTAATATTATTTTTTGTTTCTTTGTTCCTTCCTTTTCTCTTTCTTTCCTCTCTCACACTTTCTCTCTTTCCTCTCCTTTTGTCGTTTAATTTCCTTCTCCCTCTCTCTCTCTCTCTCCCTCTCCTTTTTCTTCTCTCATTCTCCTCATCTTTTATAGCTTCGTTCGGACATATGCCAAGCTTTAGAGGGAATAGTAGAAGGCCTTGGCTCTTCCTCTGCCTCCGTACATAAAGACATATATAAATTTCTTAGAAGCTCGTTGACTGATAAACAGCTAATCGTGAGGGCCCCAGCAGCAAGTGTGAGTCTAAACTTTACAACTGTGTCCTTGCCAACGTAATAGCTTAGCCTACCCTCCACTTCCTACTTCCTTCTCCTCCTTTGTTATACATGTGAGAGTATTAAACTGCTCTCTCTCTCTCTCTCTCTCCTTCTCTCTCCCTCTCTCCTTCTCTCTCCCCCTTTCTTGTTACTTCTTCTCTTAAGATCATTAACATATTAAGGAAATGTCTCAAATTTGACAACATATCTAAAGAATTTAGTGGTTCTGTCCTGTGGTTATGACACCTCATTGACCAATGTTTCTCCTATTGTAGGATTATCTCATTAGTCTGTCATTCTTTACTAGTAGCGTATGTGTCTCCTTGAGTTAAATTAGGATCATTTAGCTATAGGCTGCTGTGTGTGTGGCTGAACATGCTTATAAAATACATGTACTCATATGTATAATGGTGCGTACGTCATTTAAAGGCTTGGCAACCATACCATTGTACTTGGAGTCTTTAGCAGATAAGATCATGCACTCTTAACCACATATTATGTATGTGTGTGTATATCACTCTCTCTCTTACTCTTTCCCTCTTGTTTGTGTGTGTGGTTCCTAACTATACCCATACAATCTTTTCCTCTCTTTTTGTTGAAACTAAATGTACACTTATCTTTAATATCGTCAGGTTTCTTCTTCATAGGAAGTATTGGCACTACTGTATGTACATATGCTATGAGTGTGTGTGTGTGTGTGTGTACATCTATGTGTGGATGTAATGCATCTAGTACCTTCTTAATCCTTCACATGTGAAAAACTTACAGCATTAATATTTCCTACCATTATCAACAGAAAGTGATATATGTGTGTGTGCATGGTATTGCATTAAAATTGCACCTTTTATGCTTACTATATCATTCACTTATCACTTATTGATAATCAGTTAGTATTTGTCAGTTTCTCCTTCCTCTCCTAGTGCATCCTGTCACTGGCCAGGCAAAGTCCCCTCTATTACACTCAAGACCTTGACTCTCTCTCTCAGCTCTGTCTTAAAGGGTTTGAAAGCTCCGATTATAATGTCCGCTGTGCCATTGCTAGTCTCTGGGGCTCACTCCTTTATTTCTCTCAGAATCCTCCCTCACCTCAAGCCAAGGGAAAGGTGCACATGCATCCATTAATATTTGTATAATCTATAAATGTTATATGTATAAATCTTGTATGTATAAACGTTGCATTTATCTTATGCTTGTGTTTCCTGATTGTAATTGTCATGTTGAAAGCTTGCTTTTTGCAATGTATGCTAACTCTACTTGGAATTAGCACGTTTAAAATAAATAAAGGATATCAACTATTGAGATAATGCAAGAATAAACAATAGCCTATACATACATGTACCCATAATTATTATTATATTTTGTTTTTATTGTGAAAGGTCAAACTGGAAGATGTTCTAGGTCTTTTGTCTCAGGGTTTTGTCCGTGGTTCGGGCGGGTTTCTGAAAGCTGGTGGTCCTGAACTGCTCAAGAGTGGCCTGGCTGGCAGGGATGTAAGAGTAGGTGTAACTATGGTAAGCTGCCAATAAACAATGCACCTTACGGCAGTATAGTAATTTAATTGCTATTCTTTGTATGTGCAGTGCATTGACATTATATTCTCTCTCTCTCCCCCCCCCCTCCCCCCTCTCTCCTTCTCTCCTTATTCTCATATTCTATTAGACTTATGTCTTCTTCCTCAATGAAATGGGTGGTAAATGGCTTGAGAGGAACCTCCCCCTCGTCTCCCAATCCATCTTGGACCTCCTCTCTCATCCAAAGACCACCTCTACTCACATTGATGCCGTCTACTCTAGGAAGTGTGTCCAGTTTATATTTAGGTCAATGTTTGGCCGCCTCTTGAGTGAATCAACACAGCTAATAGCTGCCATTCACTTGTGTAAAGTTATCACTCAGTTATCAGTGAGGAATGTACCAACTGGAGAAGGTTAGGAATACATGCATAAATACAATCTCTCTCTCTCTCTCTCTCTCTCACTCTCTCTCTCTAACTCTCTTTCTAGCCCTCTCTGTTTCTCTACCCATTCATACATCACATTTATACAGTATTACTATCTTTTATATCATGCACTGTCATATTATGAAAGGCTATTATAATATCATCTTGTTTGTGTTCGTGTGTAGCATTTTTTGGCTTACTGTATCTACAGTTTGCTCCTGATTAGTTTTAGCTTGCAGCATGTATGTATGTCGAACACTCTACATCTCATTAGTGACCAGTTACTTGTACATGTACACGTACAAGTACATGCTTTTGTAATTGATGCAACCAATCATGTACATGTACATATAGATACAAATCTAGTTAGTACATGTAATTATAGTTGCATGTTCTCATTATCCTGCAAGCATGGGACTCATATAATTGTAATTTAATTACATAATGAGGTTCTTCTTACGTGTAATTTGTTTGTCTGCTTGTTCTTGTGTATAGACAGAACATGCGGTGACTTTGTGGGAGAGCCCTATCCTTCCCTGCCCCCTAATAGTTATACATGTATAATGGACCGAGTAGGCACATCATTATTATATAATAATAATAACATATATATTATTTATACATACATGTATAATCCTGTTCTCAGTGTAAGCATTCTACAGTACATATACTCCCTTTATTAATCCTAATATCATTATAGTGCCGTGTATGATATTCTCTATAGTATTACATGTATATTGTGCATGTAAGTAGTACATGATGAAGCATACTCGTATGTACATGTACATGTACATGTACTGAAGTACATGTACATGTATTGTGCAGGCTTTACCACATTCATTATGGTTAATTACGTCAATACTTTGGGCTGGTTCAGTACTAATTCGATTAGGCCCATAGACACACATGGCACCTAGCAAGCATGCTACTAGACAAGTATACATATACTTAGTATTACAAGAAATTTATTAGTATCATTATTATTATTATTATTATTATTTATTAATTAGGGCGAGGGGGAGGAGAGGGAGATGAGCCTGCAGGCGTTGACGTCAAGTCTACCGTTGCTAGACAGCACATGATGATCTGTGCCTCTAGTGAGATATCATCTCTGATCAAGAGCTTAAACACGGCATCACTTCCTCTTGTTATATCAGACACTGGAGTGGTGGGTGGGGAAAACCCCGCCCCTTTAATTGAGGCTCTTAATCACATGCTCATCAACCAGAGCATTGCTACAAGGTTCATATTAATGATGTACATGCAATTAGGGATTTTGATTAAAGGGGCATCCTCATTTAGTCATCTAATAATAATTAAGGATGTTTAATATGTCCTTAGGCTATTAATTTACATGTACATGTACATGTACGTGCATTTATAATTTTTAATGGCGTGTGTACGTGAGTGAGTCTGAATGCTAATTGAGTCGGAGTATGTAATTCATTTTAAAATGGAATTGTATAGTTTGTGGTGAGAAATGAGTAACTGAGTGGTTATGTGTGTGTGTGTGTGTGTGTGTGTTCTTTACTGTCAATTTTACTAATGAGGTCTCCTTCTACATGTACATGTACATATGTAATAATAATAATACTTAAGCACCCATCGTGGATACATGCCCCCTCTTCTCTTAATACCTATGCTGGACTACATTCAGCTGTAATAGAGTGTTATATTGCTCCTTTTAGCATATAGAGAGAGAGTCTATTTTAGCACTCACTGGTTCCTCTGTCTTCATTGATGCTCTGTATAACACCCACTGTCTGCTGTACTCTCACCTCTTGTCTCTCTCTATCATCTGTAGTAGTAGCTGCATGAGTACAATCTCACATTTCTTTTGTCCACCCAATTATCATTTATACAAACTATCAAGTGTTTTTTATCACTCCTCACATCACTATGGGCTGTAAGCTGTAAAGTGATCCACTATAAGGCTTAATGGTCTTCTATTACAGAGCACGAGTTTATTTTGATTGGGTAATTGTCTTTTATATGTGGGATATATGGTATATGAGTTTATTTTTATTGAGGTTTCATGGTAAAATATATGTCAGTTTATTTTTTGATTTGCTGAGAGGAAGTGCAATATGCCCTTCTGTACTTTCCATTTTTGCTCTCAATTTAAATGCAAATCATTTGTTAAGTCACATTTCATTAACAGTTTGCTAACATGCATACACTTAATATTATGTATTTCTTGTACTTTTAACATCATTATTATTATTACTGCTGTTAAACAGTGGTTTAATTATGTAATAAGCTGGTACTATGTTTGTATGATTGTAGTGGTTTAATTGCTAGTGGTGAATTACTATTATAGCCTGCTGTGACATCCTTTATAATAATAGAGGAAATACATGTACATGTGCATTGATATTAGTAAGTATAGCCCTGCCTGTTTTAATGCATATGCTATAGTACATTGTATCTCATATCACTCATTATAAACTCCTTTATTGTATTTATACAAACAAACTTGACATCATGTCTGTGAACATCCAAGAGAAGAGAAGATAGCAAAATTACATGATCACTTTAGCTCTCCTCTCTCTCTCTCTCTCTGTTACTCCTTTATTCTCTTATCTCTCTCTCTCTTTGTCTCACTTGTCCTCACACATTAAAAGACTACACATGTCTATACTTACAAAGCCAAGCTGCTTTATTCCTCAAAGTGTCTGTGTCTGATTTGACTAATCCATTCTTAATTGGACCTTTATCTCTTTCTCTCTCTCTCTCTCTGTCTATCTTTATATAATTTGTTGTTGGTTTTGTTACATAACCACATGTTGGCTGAGGCTCATAAAAGCTGTTTGTTATAATCACGAGTGGTCACTGGTCAGACTGCCCTGATTAGTCAAAGTTATATTGTGACTATCACTGCATGTGTAATGGTTGTCTTATTATTATCAGACCTGCAGCAAGCAACCATTGACAAGTCTAGTGCTAATATAAATGCCTTGAGGAGAGAAAGGAGTAATAATAATATCATCCCTCTCTGTTATTATTGTCTGTAATGATGTAATAATATACATCATTGATAATAGCATCACGTGTCCCTCCTATACTACATATCATGTTCCCTTCTTCCCTGTAGGCTCTCAGGGGCTCAGTGTCTCCATTACGTGGGTCTGGCTCTTCCTTCACAGTTGACACTGTTGCTTGATTATTTGTTAGTGAAAGTAAAGACAAACAGAGGACATCCTCTTGGACTTGTGGGCTACTCTCATGCTCTAGCTGCTCTTCTGGCTACTGCTAAGCACAATGAGCTAGGGGTTCCTCTGAAGAAGGCAGAGGAGTTGTTTGAGTTTGGTAAAGAGCTCGTTAGCATTCCAAACGATAGGGGCAACCTCTCGATCGCCTCGACTCAGAGTGGGTGGGCTATTATTGGAGCTTTTTTGACCCTGGGTGAGTCAAAGAAAATGGAATGTTTTCAATCCATTTTTGATGACAGAAGACCATATAGTCAACTATTTAAAAAAATAATATTCAGTATTGATATATTATGTACATGAATGTCACATTGCTATAATAAAAATATAAGATTCTCTGATCTTTTCCAGCTTATTCACACTTCATTATAACCTCCCAATCAAAGCTTGAGGGAAGCCTTGCACCAGCTCCTTTCTGAGCAGCATAATTAGCAGCTGCTAGTGATGCGTCTGGTGGAATGTAGCCAAAATTGTATTATATCATGGTATTACGTGTATATCTACTTGAGCTAACCCTGTGCCCTTAAGCTACACCAACAGCACATGATTTTAACACTAATCAGACATTTACTCCCATTTAATACACACATTGTACATTACTTAGAATGAAGGAGCTACTCTCTATAGTAGTAATACACTTCTAGTGATACTGTACTAAACTTATTAAGTATACACAGTTAGTAGTGGATGCATGGCCTCATGAGCACTATGTACATGTATATAGAGTATGTTTCCTAGTCTGTATCTTATTGGTACTAGTATATGTGGTCACTTTCCATTGACCAACTAATTAACTTGGTTTGAGATGCAGCCATAAATATACTTACATGTATTATGCATGTATTATGTACATTAGCTATATACTGTATGTACATTCATAGGCTCTACTGCTACTGCTTGTTAATGCTATTTATTATGCTATTAGGTGTCTCTTATATCAAGCCTCATGTCAGATCAGTATTCACCATTTGGTATCAGACCTTCCCTCACTCTCACAAAGAGCTTCTCTCAGAGATGAGTACTGGGACCTCTCACTCATGGCAGCACACTCTTGAGGCTAGAATAGGAGCTCTGACCTGTAAGAGCCATTATTGCTACTGCTCTGTAGTGTATTAATTGATGTATTCAAATTGTACTTTTATTCAACTTTAATTGTTAAATGGACCAGCCTTTAATTGTTAAATTTTAATAAAGTATTTTGTTTTTGAAATTAGCATCTTTGTTTTTGATATGCATATTGCATAATCTACTTTATAGTGTATATATAGTTTTGTTTTTGTGTGGTGCATATGTATATGTACATGTATGTTTGTTCTACAGCTATTGTTGGTTTTCTAACGTCCTGTGGTGAGATACTAAGTCCTGATCTCAACAAGAGGATAATGCTGCCATTGGACTCTGTACTTGCACTCATTTCAGGGTAAGCATGTACATGTAAATGTACATGTTTGTTTTATTGTGTATGTACATGTACATGTATGTGTGTGGCCAGTGGTTTTTCCAAAGAATTGACTCTAAAATGACCCCCAATTTTTATTACATTTTCTGATACATATTGATGTCCTTATGCTATGTAGAAAGTTTGAGCTGATTCCGATAAGAAATTTTTTGAGTTATGAGCATTTTTAGAAACGAGCTGATTTTTGAAAAATACCCAAGACTATAGCCCATGGTTTTTTCCAAAAATTGACTCCGAAATGACCCCCAATTTTTATTACATTTTCTGATACATATTGGTGTCCTAATGCTGTATAAAAAGTTTGAGCTGATTCTGATTAGAAATTTTCAAGTTATGGCTATTTAAAAACGGGCCATTTTAAAAATACCCTGTACTATAGCCAATGCTTATTTCCAAAAACTGGCTCCGAAATCACCCCCACAGTATTTATTATCACTATGACCACAAAGAGACTCCAATCCCCTTTTCCTCAAGTACTGCCTGGTTACTCCAGTATATTTGTCTCTTGCAGTCATTTCCTTTGCATTCTACTGTCTTCACTTCCTCTAAGGTTATCATCATGTCCTCATTAATAGCGGCTCTATATTCTTCCTCTCTACTCTTGATTGCTTCCTGTGTTCCTTTAGCACTATAGAGCCTCATACTACAATGTATGTAGTACATTTAGGAAAACATGTACCATGTACTACATTTATTATGTAGGACATGTAGTACATGTATTAGAATGACCTTTATTTATTAGTTACATCCTGCATAGTATTTGCGTGTGTATACTTAATTGCATTCAATGCATTGTCCATAATGTGAATGATATGATGTATTGTTTTATACTTTTCAAAGGCTAAGCAGCCTCATTAAGACTCATGGTGTACAGTTGAAGGCTCTCAGTGCTTCAATCAGACGACGCCTTTATCAGAACTTTATACTATTGCCACCTAAAGCATATGAAGGTATCAAATAGGGAGAGAGAGAGAGAGAGAGAGAGGAGAGAGAAAGAGAGAGAGAGGGGGAGAGAGAGAGAGAGAGAAAGAAAGAGAGAGGGAGAGAGAGAGAGAAAGTGAGATGTGTATTTACAATAAAGATCATCATTGTGTTTGTTAGGTTGCTTGAGTTCTCTTCTGAGAGAAGTCGTATCAGAACTGACACTAACTGACTCATCCACCACCACTACTTCACTCTTAAGATCAATGTGTCACCATGACGACTGTGTCCTCCTTGGCTCATGGCTGGAAGAAACTGACCATCAAGATGTTGAAGAAATGGTGTGTGTGAGAGAGAGAGGAAATGAGGGAGGGAGAGAGAGAGAAACAAAAATAGGATTGATGAATGACATACATTGTAATAGTGGTGATTAGAAGCATTAGTGTTTAAAATGATAGTTTTATATCACAATAACTATTCCAAATTTAATAAATAATTATTATTTTAGTATTTAATTTATTGGATTGCCTATAGTGTACTTGTACATGTATGTGTGTGATACCTATAGTTTTAAGGTTGAGTGAAGCTCTATGTTAAATGATTGAATTATTGTACTAGCCCACTCTACAGTGAGTAACCTACACTTGTATCCAATATCTGCTGCAATCCTAATAGCACTAAGTATTTATACCTGCTATAATCCTGATAGATCTTACTATAAGTACATATGTGTATTTATATTTAATTGCTTGCTATTTGGCCCTGGATAATTTTCAGGTGTTTAATGAGTATAATGTGTTTGTGTCCTGTTGTTATATTATTATAGGGTTCTCTCAGTAGGATGTTAGCAATAATGATACAGGTAGCACTAATGCATGATATCATCTTACCAGTTTAAACCCTTTGTGTGTAAATAACATGCATGTATATTAAATGTACAAACAGTATTGTATATTTGATAATATTTTATGTATAGTGTTATTAAATGAAAGGTTTTGTAATAAAGGAAATTGTCATTATCATGCGTCTCTCTCTATGGTAACTCTACTCATGTGTCATTATCTAATGAGTTCTTACTATATATGAACTACATGCACATGTAATCATCACTTAGTTTACTCATCTTGTGTAATGGGTACAATTGAATGTACATATATACATGTACTTTAACACTGCTATAATGTAATCACTTAGATCTTTCTTAAACCCACAAAGGTCCATGGTACAATCAAAGTTGTGTGTAATCATTCTCACTTATTGTTTGTGTGCACTCAGTTTATAAGGTTTTGTTGTGTGTATGTCCTAGTGTGTTATCATTTATTAGAAGTGTGTTATCATTTATGACTTGCAGTACTGTACGTGAGTGAGTCATTTAAATTTGCTTTTAATTGTACATTTTTGTGGGTTTAGTGTAGAGTACTTGATTGTCCTCTGTTGTTGGTGTGTGTGCTCGTCTCTTGTAGTAATTTGTATCTTAGCATTATAAATGTATTAGTTCTCTACAATTGATGAGTCTCCTACCTCTTAAGCACACACTGTAGCAGCAACAATTGTTAAATTTACATAATGATCATTATCTCTTTTCTCTTTCTCTCATCCAGTTACAGCCTAACAGTGCAGCTGGTTCAGGGGCTTTGGAACATGACTCTGCCTCTGTGTATTTACCTTCAAGTGAAGTAAGTGAACTATTGCAATTGCTTTTTAATCTTTTTTTGCTTCTTTTCTATTTCTTTTCCCTCTATTTTCTTCTACTTCATCCCCACTCTCTCTCTCTCTCTCTCTCTCTCTCTCTCTCTCTCTCTCTCTCTCTCTCTCTCTCTCTCTCTCTCTCTCTCTCCTCTCCTTTTAAGTCATTGGATTTCAATAATCCATTGCCACTGGGTGTGTCTGTCATTGATGCTTCTATCATACTCTTTGGTCGAGTGTTTCCATTCCTTTCCTCAAAGCACCAGTTACAATTGTTGAATCACTTCAAGGAAGTCATCAAGCAAGCCAAATCCTTCCAACAGCAAGCCATACAGATTAATGTCATTACAGCTGTCCTCTCTGGTCTAAAGGTACATGCATATACACGTACACACACATGTACATCTAGCATTATAATACATGTAGTATTAGGGAAGTATACAGTAGACTTACATGCATTTTTACATATATATACACATTTAAGAGTCTTTATTTCTCTTTCTACAGAGTCTAATAGCCAGTAAGAGTTCCTTTAGTGACGAAGCTCTAATAAGTGCAGCCTATTCAGTTATATCAGTAAGTCCTCTGTCCTAGTTCATTTTACATGGACTCATTCACATGTCATCATTGAAACATCCTTTATTAATATACATGTACTTACATGTAATTGACATGTTATTGTTTATGCAACAGCCATATTTGTATGGTTGTACCTACTTACACTTGTAAACTTAAAAGTGTATGTCACTCTAATCAAACTTTATTATTATTTATTTGTGGCTTGTTATTGTTCTAGGGAGCGTTGACTAGTAGCAATTCAATGCTTTGTTGTGGAGCTGGTGAAGCATTGGGCCGTCTCTCTCAAGTTGTCGGCGACGCTAGGTTTGTCGGTCAGATTGTACAGATGAGTGTAGAGGCACTCAAACCTTCCTCCTCCTCCTCCTCCTCTGGGTCTAAAGAGGTTCCCACTGGTCATATCCTTACCTTGGGGTGTCTCCACCGATACGTGGGTGGGATGAACTCTGGCCCCCACCTCTCCCTGAGTGTCAGTACGCTACAGGATATAGTGAAGGCTAGCGGTGGAGCAATAATACCACAGGTATTGTGTAATAGGTCAACGTAGGCGGGCAGGACTGCACCTGCTGTACTTGACTTAAGGAGATAATTGGCTATACACACCCATACAGACCCTAAGCCTCTCCTACCACTTAAGCTATGTCAACAGCTCTTTCATTCTCTTGTCGGCAGTTCCTTTACTTTATACATGTAGTCTTCTATAGAAAAAGCATGCAGACATTACAAACATTCATAGCTTCTACATTGCTCTACATGCACTATAATACATTTGTTCCTTTTCTGTTATGATAGTCAATTCATCTCTTTCTTAGTTAATAATTATATACTCTTGATATTTTACATATATGTATTTATCTGTACATTATACATGTACATGTACATGTACATGTAGGTTTGACATGTGTGTGTGTTACGTTACGTGATGTCACCTGCGGCCATAGGTCATGCAGTGAATGTATTCAGAACATTATTTTTGGCTGGGTTGGTGTTGTTTGTTGATGTGACACTCTCACTTGTAGTAATCTAACACTTGAAATGACGAGCATATCTTCTGGCCCGGTTTCAAATCTATGTCCTATCGCTGACAGTAATTAGGATGCAGCCTTAAGCTGCACGAGTATATTATCTCTTGTACTGATTCACACAGCATGCGCATCCATGTACGTATATGTACATGCATATGTGTATGTGCATGTAGGCCAGGGGCTTCCGCAAAGCAAGCTACATGTACATGTAAGTGAGCTAAAAATTAAAAATTGAGAATCTGCAATTTTGAAGGAAATATGAGATTTTTGAGTAACTTTAAAAATTATAAAAAGTCTAATTTTGATTAAGATGAGCTCAAACTTTCTATGCAGCATAAGAACATGTATATGTATTAGAATAAATTATAATACTGGGGAATTCTTGCCTAGTCATTTTTGGCACAATTTGGCTCAATTGGCTGTCTATCATTGTTTCCATGCTGGAAGATTGCACCTAGATCATCATCATAGTAGTGTCTGGTTGGCTGGACACAGTCATTATGATTGTGATGTAATGTCTGTTGTTACTATACCGGGAGGGCATGGTAGCCTATACATCTTATGATATTAGTATATCCATGAATATGTTTAGTTATACTAGTCTGTATCTTATTACACTGTTTGGTAACACTGACCCAGGATTTACTATTACTACTACTAGTGTACTACTACTATCATTAATATTATTAATGTTATTAAGATTATTGAGGCAAAACCACGAGTTGAATTTGTATGGTATGTGTTACGTATACCTAATTATGCGTATGGGTTAAAGAAATATTGAAATGACATGTATAGACTATTGCACCTGGTGCTATATTAATTTAGCTACAAGATTTATGTACAACTGCACTGTATAGTGTATATACATGTACCTGCATTATTATGACATGTTCATATTCATATACATATAAATTTACAGCCAAGTTGTATTGTCACTTTAATATAATCACAGTAGTACAAATTCGTCGTAGAATTTCTCTGAAATGAGGTAATTATATATTTACAATTATCACATGTTCAAGAGCTTTCTTGATATGTTCTGCTTCCTTGTTGAATGCATTGTACTCATGTACTTCTCAACAATTTATTGGAAAGCATTAAATCATTTATTCTATCTGAGTAAATGATAATAATAATGATAATAATTTTTTTTGTGCTGTTATTATTATTATTATTATTATTAAATTTATTATCTTTTCTGACTTTCCCTTAAAATACATGTATAATATATTCATCCTAACTTTATTTCTCCTTGTGAGGTATTTTTGAATAATAATAATAATTATTATTATCATCATTATTATTATTAATCTATCATACTGTTTTTCTATTGAACATGCATACTGTTTATGCATGAATGTACATGTACATTCATGCACTTTATATATAAATATATACACACACAATGGATTATGTGGTACATGTATTATTATTATTATTATTATTATTATTGTTACTATTATTATTATTATACAAAAGCAACAGCAGCAGGGAAGTGAACAAAAAAAAAACGAAGAAAACACTGGACAAGCAAAGAGAGACAAAAAAAGAAATTAATAATAAAATAAAATCAAATGAAAATATAGATCTAATTAAGTAGTTTTATTATTATTATTATTATTATCATTATTATTATTATTATTATTATTAATCATTTCACATTAGAATTTCTTTATCAATGGCCAACTCCATTGGCAGTCATAAAGAGTTGAGCTCATTTCATGATAAAATCATAACATCCTCAAACAAACAAGCACATGCTTCACCAACCATAATAAAAGCACTCCAACGAGCGACTGATATTGAATTCACATTAACCACCTTGGAATAAATAATAATAATAATAATAGTAATAGCGCCCACATGTGGCTTAGCTGCTCTCCCTCTCTTCCACCTATTGTGGATGGGAGCATCTAACTGCTTTCCTTTTTCTTCCAGTTTTTCCTTGTCTTCTTGTATTTCTTTATTTGTATTGTTCTGTAGGGCTTTCCCTCTATTCCCATCATAACGTTATCTACATGCATGTGTTACATTCTCTATTGTTGTTTTATAATAATAATAATAATAGTAAGATCTGAAATCACTATCTGTAGATCATTAGTACACTGTAGGTAGAGTGGCTTTATTAAGGCTTTAAATATCAGTCACTTTATCTTGTTGATATTTGTTCTTAATTTATTGTTATGCAACATTGTGTTTGGCCCTTCTGAAGATCATTTATAATTTAGTTTGTACATGATTTTCTGTAATAATTATTGCATTCTCTTATCCTCTGCCTGGTTGTGTTTTCCTTCTAACTCCCTCCCTCTGATGTACACAGTGTGGCTAGGTAGAGAAACTTCCTCTTGTCTAGATTATGTAAGGGAGAGAGCCAGTTGGTTAGTGTAATGACAGCTGCTCACCACCGCCATGCCCAAAACATCCCTCCCTTTCTTATAAGTGCTAACAGGAAAAATGTATCACAATACATGCTACTCTGTATGATTGTGGACTTATTGCATAGTGGAATTCACCTTTGGTTTCAACATGAAAGCCCATACATCTACACATGTACATCTACATTGGCATCTACATGTACATGTACATGTATATTAATGATTTTATGCTATGTATTTTTTATTATTTTTAGGTTTGGTCTCTTCATGCTCTTTCCCTCATTGCCGACAGTGGTGGGCCGTTATTTAGAAACTTTGTTGACTCGACTCTATCACTGCTTGTCAGCCTTCTCTTACATGTAAATATAATCAGCGTTGACATGTACCGTTGCCTTGGTAACTGTCTGAGCGCTCTATTGACTACGCTTGGACCAGAGCTACAGATAGAGTCTCCTTCAATGTGTGAGACTAGAGACATGTGTCTAGCAGCTTGTGCTGTTCTTCAAGTAAGAGAGAGAGGGAGAGAGAGAGAGGGGGGAGAGGGGGGTGGTAAATGGAAAGAAGAGAAGGTGGGGTGATAAAGCTTTCGTGGTCCATTAATCAGTAGTTTGTAGATGCAGGTGTGTAGGCACCACTTCAAAATAATAAATCTATTTTTTCTTTTTTTTAATTACATGTATATTGACTGGTGATAATTTTACTATAACCTGAACACCTGTCCCATCTCTCTTATAGACCCATTCTGATTCCGTAGTGCAAGCCACAGCGATCAGCTGCCTTCAACAACTACAACTGTTTGCGCCTAAACTGGTTGTCATGGAAACGATCTTGCCCCGCCTACGTGACTCCCTCGACAGCCCTCACCTGTTGCTACGGCGATCAGCAGCAAACGCGCTCCGTCAGTTTAGCCAGCAAGAGCCTCGGCTAGTCTGGGAAGAACTGAGAGAGAGAGGGAGTAAGAGTGGAGAGGAGAAAGGGCTAGAGCACTGTGTCCTTTCTAAACTAGACGTTGAGACTGACAGTAAACTAAGATTTGATTTAAAAGAGATCCTGTTCAGTTTATTGAGTGTTTTGGCACCCTACGATCCAATGAAGTGGCTCCTTTTATGTAACGGAGTCCTTTCTGCTACCAGCCAGAAGGAAGGGGGCGGAGCACTCATGGATATTGGAGGGGGCGGAGCTTCTGAGCAACCCTCTAAAACTGATGACCAAGATGAGGACATGGCTCAGTTCACGACAGGAGAGGAGGATCAGTCCGGAAAGACTCTCATCATTCCAAGATGGCCGACTAAGGTTTTTGCCGTTGAGTGCTTGCGTAAGATTTATCAAGTTTGTCGGAGCGACCCGGCACATTTTGACCTAACCCTGGCACAGAAAAAGAAAGAGAGCAATGGAGGTAAGAGGGAAAGGGGGAGAGAGACAGAGAGAGGGAGGGAGGGAAAGAAGAGATGAGAAGGAAGTAGAAAATGGAGAAGTGGGAGGATAAGAGATTATAATGAAAAGGGGATGAGATATTCACATGATATGATATTTTAGTGGGTGTGTGTGTGGTGTGTCATGATTATCTTTGTGTGTATCAATAGATATGTCTCATATCATTGTTTCTTTCTTGCAGCTATTACAGTGATTTATAAACTGTATTGATATGTTCCTATTATCATTATGTCATTATTGTGACGATTATCCATTGGACCCTATCATATGTTATTTTACTTATCTCTTCTCTCGTCACACAATGCATGCATTTTATACTGACAATGATTCAATAATATGCAAGTGTACATGTACATACAGTGAGATACTGATTGAATGTATACGCGTACATGTACATCAAGAGTATATATAATAGGGAACGTGCATGTACTGCATTTATAATTCCTGTTGCCCGTAGGTGATTATCTTGTAATGCATTTGTCTGAGCTAGTGAGGACATCATTCATAGCAGCTACTGCCAGTGTTGATCAATTGAAACTAACTGGATACCAGTCACTACAGGTCATTATACATAGATACATACATACATATATGTATATATATACCATTTCCAAGAAGAGAGTGGGAGAGAGAGAGGGAATAGAGAGATATTAAAATTGTTTAAATCACAAGAGGGAGTGAGAGTCTGGCCAGGAAATGAAAAATACTTATTCACCTGCCTACACTTTTCAATGGCATCAATTGGTTTTAGCTCATTTGCATCCACATACATTATAATTCACATTATCTACCTACACACACACACACACACACATGCTCTCATTATATCTATGCAGGATGTTATACAATTGTTTGCTAGTGCCAGTGATCCAGAATATCCAGGACATGTACTCTTGGAACAATACCAAGCACAAGTAAGGAAGAAATAACATCATCGACCAAAGGATGAACTAAATTAATATAATTTCCCTTACAGAAGGCTATATTTTAAGGTTTCCCACAAAGCATGCTAATTAAAGTGATCTTCATTAGCTAAAACATTTAACTTTGATAATTTTTAGCAAAATACATGTTATTTTGTTGCAACTTAAAAATTGCTGACAAAAAGCTGAGCAATATGCTAAAATCCTGTGGGAAACCCTGTCTATTATTTTGCTTTATACCCTATAAAATGATTATTTATACGTGTGCATGTACATGTATGTATTTCTTTATTTATTTCTATTTTATTATTATTTTTTCTCCTAATTGTATTAGATTGGTGCTGCCCTGAGGCCTGCCTTTACTCCAGATACAGCTCCTCACGTGACTGCAATGGCCTGTCAGGTCTGCTCAGAGTGGCTCGGCAGTGGAGTCTCTCGTCATGTCGGAGACCTCAAGAGAGTCCAGCAGCTGCTAGTAACGTCACTCGATAAATTACAAAAAGGTCGTTCTGAGAAGTCCTTATATGGAGAAACCGTAGCAACCATGGTTAGCCTGGCTGTGCTAAAAGCTTGGGCCGAGTTGTATATAAAAGTATCGGCTGATGGGATCAAACATCTTTCTACACCAGAACCGGAGGGAGGGGGCGTGACCGAGGGGACAGAGGACCTAATAGAGCCCCACCTACCCATACTCAGTAAATATTGGTTAGCGGCAGTTGATGACCACGCCCATCTCTCTCTCCCGGATCAGTTTAACAGTCAGTTGCCTCCTGGTACGTTTTATGCAGCTGGAATGGGATCTTATGTAAAGTCATATTATGAAACAAACTGGCCTTCCATATTAGAAGCTTGTTCACTATGGGCTGCTAAGGATAAGCTTAAAGATGGCTCCAACAAAGAGCCATCTTCCAGCGACAGTTTGGCTCCGCCTTTTGCCGGAATGTTGCCGTTGGCGACCGGTGTGGTCCCGCCTCCAGACGAACGTCACGACACTTTTTATTTACTGATGGGCGTGGCAATACAGGCTCTTTGTAACCCAGCCCTATACGATTCTCCTCATACCATAAAGTGCTGTCTGCAGTCATTGCATCATCTTTTGTCCACGTCACTAGCACGTACCATACTAACAACAGATACTCAACTACTAATGGAGGTTCTCAATGTCCTTCATCGTGTAGTACTCACTTCACGGAGTCCTGATACTCACTTGATCTCGTTTCGAATAGGACTCTCCCTCACCTCGGGATTAAAGCTTCAAGAGAGGGAGGAGAGGATCGAGGAGGATCAGTCTTGCGCTTACACATTGCTGGTTCTCTCTAGCTGGGCCTTATTGAAGCCGTCTTCTAATAAAGAGCTGGTCTCATTAGCTGTTCAACTGCTGCCTAATGTAGTACAGTGGATATCTCCAACTGTCCTACACACTATCCTTCCTAGTATACTTTATATAATGCTTTCTGTTGCATCTAATGTACAAGGTATGCATACACTTAACGATCCTAAATTTTTATTACATTTTCTGATACATATTGATGTCCTTATTCTGTGTAGAAAGTTTGAGTTGATTCCGATAAATTTTTTTTGAGTTATTAGCATTTAAAAATACGAGCCAATTTTTGAAAAAAATCAAAGGCTATAGCCCATGGTTTTTTCCAAAAAAAATGGCTCCGAAATGACCCCCAATTTTTATTACATTTTCTGATGCATATTGATGTCCTTATGCTATATAGAAAGTTTGAGTTGATTCCAACTTCAATTTTTCAAGTTATGGCCATTTAAAGAAATGGGTCAAAATCTGAAAATTTCCCTGTACTATAGCCCATGGTTTTTTCCAAAAAATGGCTCCGAAATCACCCCCAATTTTTATTACATTTTCTGATACATATTGATGTCCTTATGCTGTGTAGAAAGTTTGAGCTGATTCCGAAGAGTATTTTTTGAGTTACGACCATTATAAAATTTCATCTTCCATCTATTACTATAGATACTCCTCAGTATGTGGCAGTTTTCTATCAGTCGTGGAAGGAATTGTGTGCTTACTCTCAGTCCTCACTCTTGATACTTCAGTCGTCTCTTAAAACCCTCTTGATGACGTCAGAGGACCAGCTGTCGTCGCTGACTCGTTTGATTCTAATGTCGATATTGTTGGTGAGTGTGGAAGGAGTGTGTCCTCCTTCATCTGATCTTTATGAAGAGTTTGTGGAGTTTTTGAAGAACTGCTTTTGGAACAGTGATAAAGAAGTAACCTATTGCATCCTCCACATCTCTCTTTTCTCTCATAAAATCTATGCACTTCTCTATTTTTTATATTTTATATTTGCATTTATTTATTCTTTAAAATTATTTTAGGTTCAATTGAAAGCTTTAAAAGTGTGCAATAGCCTCTTCCCTGTACTGGGGCATCAGTTTATTCAGGACTCTGCTCCTGAAATTGTATCAATCATTCAAGGGAAGCCAAACACTTCCTCTCCTCCTCAAGAAGTCATTATCCAAGCAGCTCAAATACTAGAGAACCTTCTTGAGCTGACACCAGATAATAAAAGTAATAATAATAATGTTTTAGTATGTTAATCTGTTTTAGTATGCTGGTCTGTATTTTAGATGCATCTAATTTCATGGTCTGTCTTTTAGTATATTTTATTATTTTTAGAGCTGACAATGCTGGAGTTACTTGTCCCCCTCTTTGTCTCATCTCTCTCCTCCTCCTCCTCTTCCTACAACAGTAAACTAATCCACGAAACTCTTCTCCAAAAACTAACTGCCATTGGTCGGAGGTACCCAGTCCCTTTCAGAACAGTAATGACACCTGAACTCAAGTCTCGCCTTGAGGCTGCTATCAAGGCCAGTGCTGCTGCTGCTAATTCTGCTAAACAGGTCAAGCGAGGCGGCCAGACAGGTCAAACTAGTCGGGCTCAGCCAGCCATTGCTCTTAAAATGGATTTTAGTAATTTTAAATAAACTTAGACTGAGTTACTGTCAGTATTATTATTATTATTATTATTATTATTATTATTATTATTATTATTATTATTAGTGTCTTTTATGCTGTTGTTCTTGTTCATTACTTCCATTGCTTTGTTCAATTGTGCTCTAGTTCTTTTTTTCTGATATATACACAGGTTCCTGCATAATGTAATGTGGATAATTATAAATAATTATTTTTTGAAAAACGGACCTAAATTATTATAAGTTTCATTATAAATTATTTTCAGCATGACGTACCAGTATGTAACTTACCAACAAATGAATGCTGTAACAATAAACCCACCCACTGCTATGTCACATGACCTCTTGACCACACCTAAAATAATTAAAATATAAAATAATTATACTAACACAAAAAATATATATTTCTATTAATAACCCTTTCGACACAACAACTTCTTCACGCCTCTTACTAATAAATAACTTGTAGACAATTTTACAAGCAAAAGAATTTAAATATGCCTTTAATCATTATTATAAAACCAGGCCAGAGGCATTTTTTTACACTTTTTAATTCATAAAGTATAAATTATAAAGATGATCACCTGATTTTAGGTAGTAAGCCACTCCTCCTATTCCTCCGATAATTATTCCATTAAGGAGCGAGTCCTTAGCACAAGGAGTCTTTCTGATGTTAAAGTGATACCATTTCTAGAATAAAAAGTGAATCAGTTGATACATTATAGCTCTGAAATACTCTGTGAGATGATGGTGGATTTTCCATTGACCACACCTATATAATTAAAAAAACTAATTAACTAATTTAAAAAAAATTGAAATTATAAAAAATTTAAAAATTAACAAATAAAAAAATTTTTTAATTAAAAAATTAAATAAAATAAAAACTAATTAAAAAATTAAAATTTTAAAAAATAACAAATAATAAATTTTTAAAAATTAAAAAATTAAATTAAATTAAATTTAAAATTAAAATTAAAAATAAATAATAAATAAAAACCTAGAAAATTTTGTAAATTAAAAATTAAAAGCTTAAAAATAAAAAATAGAATAAAATAAAAGCTTATTAACTAATTAAAGAAATTAAAATTTTTAAAAATAACAAATAATAAACTTTTAAAAATTAAAAACAAAATTAAATAAAATTAAAAATAAAAATAAAATAAAAAATTAATTAAAAAAATTAAAATTAAAAAATTAAAAAATAGAATAAAATAAAAGCTAATTAACTAATTTAAAAAAATTAAAATTTTAGAAATAACAAATAATAAATTTAAAAAAATTTAAAACAAAATTAAATAAAATATTAAAATTAAAAATAAAATAAAAAATTAATTTTTTTAAAATTAGAATTTAAAAATTAAAAAATAAAATAAAATAAAAAATTAATTTTTTTTAAATTAAAATTTAAAAATAAAATAAAATAAAAAACTAATTAATTAATTAAAAAATAGAAATTATAAAAAACTTTAAAAATAACAAATAATAAATTTTTAAAAATTAAAAAATTAAAAATTATTTTTTTAAAAATTAAAATAATTTTTTTGTAATAAAAATTATTACCACAATTATATGACGTCACTTCCTGTTTTAAAATGAACTTCTGGTTTCATTTTACTACTTCTGGTATTATTTCACTTCCGGTTGAAAATAAAAAAATTGTAAAAATAATAATCACTATTAAAAACAAACCATAAATAAAAATTGTAAAAAAAATAAAAAATACTATGCCAGTAAAATAAATATTAAATTTTATGTAACAGCAGCTGGCCCTGATCTCTGCTGATCATAAAATTTCATTCTCTCGTCTCTCCCACCCTCCCATTTCTTCCTCCCCTCATCTTTTAGTAGTTCTTTCATTATAAGTCTCATCACGTCGTCCGTATCACCAAAAACTCTCACTCCACACCCAGAAGAACACAAATCATCAAAACTCGTCTTTTGTCTATTGATAATAACGACACTCAACGGTTTCTTTCCCATTGATATGAGGTCAGAGGCCGGGGTAACAGTCATTGAACTCCCTAAACTAAGCAAGAGGTCACATTTCCTTGCTTCTCTAGTAGCAGCTGTCAGTACGTCTTCTCTCAAGTCGTCGCCAAAATTGATAATGCTGTCCTTAAGTTGACCCGGACACTTGACACACTTGCGTCCAGTTCTGTGAGAGAGTGAGCACTGTGGACACTGCGAACCATACGTTGGCTTCTTTATGCTGCTCTTTCCACAATCATTAATGTCCTCGTAGTATTGACTGCAGTCATCGTCAAGGACGTAGTAGGGTCGGGCGTATTTCGTGTCGCACGACTCACAGAATTCTTCAAACACGTTCCCATGAAGTTCTGCTAGTTTATCGGGCGGGATACCAGAGAGGCTGTGAAGACCGTCACCATTTTGAGTGATGACGTATTTCAGATGGCCTAGCTCCATCAGTTTTACGAGAGACTCGTGTGTGTAGGTTGGACGAAGCTGTTCGTATGGCACACCTTCCTCCTCTTCCTCCTCCTCTTTCCTGTCCTCTTTAGTCCATTTTCCTCTTTTGCCACGATAGTCTCCTTTAGAAAATAGAAAATAATAAATAAATAAATTAGGAGATTTTCCTCCCATTAACGTTGTGAGCTAGCCCTCAATATTAAAGGAGGGTATCTTGGCCTACAAAATTAGTAAGCAACAAACCTATTCCAGCCGATGTAGATATTCCTGCTCCAGTGAAGGTTACACAGTGTTTTGAGAACATGATGAGGTGCACTATCATGCTTGCTTTGTGCTTGAGGCTAGTCACAGAATCAAAGTACTCGACAGTCTTTGCTGCCTCTTTTATCTTTGCCTTCTCAGACGGCTCAAGCTTCATCGTGGCCCTTTTAGGATTCCTCAGTCTGGCATTACGAAGTATCTCTTCCCAGCAATCTTTATGAAAGACCCCATCACCTTTCTCTCCCCAGTTTATTGTCCTGCTCTGGTATGGAAGTGAGACTACCTCTACTCTGTTATCATCCTCACCAAATGGAGGACGAGAGCAGCTCAAGAGTGAACAGAACAGACCTCCAGGATCAACTGCTTTCTTTCTACAGCCATCGCTTGACTTTGATCTCTTTTTAGAAGCTGATGATGAGAAAGCAGCAGCCATTGCAACATTTACAAGGCAAATCTATAAATCTGATTGGTCAATTCCAATTTAACTTAGTTAAGAATATTCACAATTATTATTAATCATTATCATTATTTAGTATTCACAATTATTATTAATCATTATCATTATTTAGAAGAGAGTTTTTGGGTCATTTTTTGACGAGCTTTATAAAATGCAACAATATCATCGTTGGCCCTCGTGTCTCTGACTAAGGAAATTGTTTCTGAAACCGGCTTGACAAGTTTTAGAGACTCTCCTTCCTCGTGAGATGCCATAGGAGAAGACGAAGAAGAATTTGAAGATGAGTTCTATAGCAAAGTAATAATAATAGGTACTATTACAATACTGGGTTACTTGAGTGGTCCACCAGTGATCAAAATCACGCTGGAGCTGGACTTTAGCACGCTCTAGCAAATGCTGGACATGTTCGATCTCAGTCTTGAGTTCTTTTAAACGTGTGTACATCTTCTTAAACCTAAAAATAATGATTAGAAAGTAACAGTTTTGTGTGACTGCAAAATACAAAGTGCTACATTTTCATAGTTAAAACTACTACTAATAGAGCAGTATGTACTGTTTTTTCTATGCAGCAATAGTTGTGTACATGACATGTGAATGTGTGTGTGCATTATGTACTCTGTCTTCTCTTCTTCTAAAGCTGTTCTGGTGTTTTCTTCACTGACACTTACATCTTCTTGATGATTGTCTATTAATAATGGAGTAAGGCATATTTAGAAGATAGAGAAAAAAGGAGAGAGAGAGGTGAGAGAAGGAATTAGCCTGGGAATACCTTGCAAGCCTCTGGTTAGCTTAAGTTTATCAAGTTTCGTTTTTAGTTGATCTAAAAAAGAAAAAAGAAAAAATGAAAGAATAACTACATGTATATGTAGCTTACTAATATGTAATCTTGATTTATTAACTTGCTCTCCTAAATCTTTAGCTTCACTGTACCTAAACACATTCATTTATTAACAGGGGACATCATGCACCATGGCAACCAGCTAAACTCACTTCTTTTTAAGGGTATCTTTGTGCTGATCCAATAATGCAGTGTCAGCAATATTCCGCCTATAATTGTCAAATGCTAACTGACGTGCCTTCGATAATTCTAAAAATAAATAAATAAATAAATAAATAAATAAATAATGCTTCAACCCACCAGCTCTTATAAGAGCCCTCTTATCATTAATGGGTGTGGCCACAGATGTAACACTAGGAGGTGTGGTCACCGTACTGGAAGGTGTGGCTAAATTACTCGGTACAGAGGAAGTGGAGAGTGGGCTCGTCCTTCCTAGACGAGGTGATTTGGGTCTCTCGGTCCATTGTATGGAGTGTTCTTTTAGTAATTTCTCTCTCTCAGCTACCAGCTTTTTCTCCTGCTTGAACATCTTCAACAAGGCATCTACTTAACAACAACAACAACAACAACAACAATAATAATAATAATAATAATAATAATAATCAACAATAATAAAATTGTTTGTCTGTAACTAACTTAGCTCTTCATCTCTTTGATGCACCATATCTTGGAGTCTCTTCATTTCAACATTACTAACATTGCCAGTGGAGTTTGAATCCCCCTCCCCTTCTCTCTCTTTCTTTAATAAATGTGATGAAGAATCTCTATATGAATGAACCACAGTATAAATGGCAGCAATAAATGTGTATGGACAATTGGACATTGTAAGCTCAATAGTTGTAGAATAGAAAGTTTCTCATAATTCAATATTTTATACTTACTTTTCTGATTGTCTTTCTGTTAATATTGTCTCCTAAAAGTACACAATTTAATAATTATCATAAAACATGCTTATGTATCTAGCTATCATATTTTTCCCACCTCTTTCTCTCTCATTCACTTACTTTCAAAATCTGAAAAGCTAATTGGATTTTCCTCATGTCTGGAGGATTAAAACTTAAATACGACATTTCCTTGCTCTCAATAAACTCAGTCACAGAACTCCTTACACTTTAATAGTCACAAGAAAATTAAAACTAGAAAAAGATTGTTGTAACTGTACCTGGATTTTTCCTCATCAGTTAGCTCATCTGTCCTTTCTTCTCCAGTCGCCAAAACAAGTTCTTGTTTGAGCTCTTCAACTCGCTGCTGTAGTCTAGCCACCATCTTTAACATTAATCCATCAATGGCTGAACTAGACATTAGCATATTAGCTTACCAGTGATGGATCAACCTCTTCATTAAGGAGTGCTTCATTCTTTATTAGTGCAACACGCTGTGAGAAACGACAGGTTGATATAGACTCCTATTATTATAGTATAAGTAGGACATAGTGAGATTTAACAACTAAGCTAGCACTTTGGATTCACAATTTCACACTTTCAGCTCATCTACATGCATATCGCTAGTCGCTACCCTCCCTCCCTCTCTCCCTCCCCCCCTCCCCCTCTACCTCCCCCTTCTCTCTCTCTCCCCCCTCTCTCTCTCCCCCCCTCTCTCTCTCACTTCAATATTAGTCTTTTCAATTGACAGTGTTGCTATCATTGACGTCATGCAGTTACCTCCTAAACTAAAGTAACAAATCATACAGTACATACAGTATAGATCCAGTACCAGTCCATCTGTTATTGTAATATTAATCATAATAATAATAATATTTACCTGTCTCTTAATACAGAAGTCATCATGGAGTTACGGTAAGGTATATGTGAACGGGACTTCTCTGACAAGGCAACAATAACCTGTAATGCATATGTAATATAAAGCAATACATGATTAAAAGTACATGTACACTGTACTCATTAAATATGGAATATACATGTATGTACAAGTACTTGTAGCTGCAGTGCAAAATTTTGAGACTTAAAAGAACATGAAATTTAATGTATTATTGTATTATGTCTACTAGTAATAATCAGTTAATTGAAATGGTTACCTGTTCAAGAGAATGTAGTGACAAGTTGATGTATTTAGCTTCAGTTAATAAAGCTCCACCTACACCAGTCTTACCGATACGCTCTGATCTGATTGACCAATGCATCAATAATTAATTAATTAAGCAACATCCACTTACCCTGCCAGATCAACAAGATGCAGTTTTGATTTTCTAATAGTATCGGCCCCAGACTCTCTACTGGTGACATGAATAGTGAATATACAATGAGATCTTGTAGAGGCCATGTTCATAGGAGTCTGGGAAATGAATGAGAAAATAATAAATTATTGAACTCTATACGTAGAAACTAGCATAAATATGTATATACATGTATATACGTGTGTTTAATATATATATATATATGTATGTATATATATTAGGCATACCTCAGCTATCATTCTGTTTGTATCACCAAGAAATAACCAATTAAGAGCTGAAAAATAATTATTATTTTCATTATTTAATTCTCATATTATTATTTGTACCTTCCTCTTCACTAGTGACCGAATGCATTGATAGATTCTTCAGATGAATCTCACCATTGCTTCCTTCAAACAGAGCAACTCTCCTAACAATACAATACTTTCAGTCTTCTCTCTTTCTCTCTCTCTCTCTCTCCTCTCTCTTACGGTAGGTCTTCAAGTTTAGAGGCTTCGTGCTTTGGATCAAGTAAGTCGTAGCCATTTTCATTATAAATCTCAAGGTATGATACTTGAGTAGTGAACACTGTCCCTGGAGACTGAGAATATGAAAGACATGCAACCAGTTCATTCTGAACAGGGACTTTGGCCCATGACAAAAAAAAACACATTTTTTCCATTGTCACGAAATCTGTGACAACCAAAAACCCAGTCCCTGTACTGATAGTATAGGGACTTTGGCCCAATTTTGGAGCAACTTTAAAAATCCATAAAAAATCAAATTTTTATCGGAATCAGCTCAAACTTTCTACACAACATAAGTACATGTATATGCATCAGAAAACATTATAAAAATAGATACTTTTCAATTTTTAATTTTTGGCAAAATTTGGCCCGAGACCCTGTACTATAGTACAGGGACTGTGGCCTGATTTTGGAGCAACTTTAAAAATTCATAAAAAATCTAATTTCAATCGGAATGAGCTCAAACTTTCTACGCAACATAAGTGCATGTATATGCAGCAGAAAATATTATAAAAATGTAGAATTCTCTACTTTTAATTTTTGGCAAAATTTGGCCCGCGACCCTGTACTATAGTACAGGGACTTTGGCCCAATTTTGAAGCAACTTTTAAAATTCGTAAAAAATCTGGCCCGATTTTAGAGCAACTTAAAAATTTTTAAACAATGTAATTTTGATCGGAATCAGATCTACAACATAGAAATAACTGTAAAAATAGATGAAAAGAACAAAAGAGAATAAAGTAGAGAGAGAGAGAGAGAGAGAGAGAGAGAGAGAAAGACCATAATTATTTAACTACACACTTTAAGGTATTGCTGAAACAGGTATGACAATGTCCGTGGTATTATCCCTCTGTCTGAATATCTCTCGGCTCCACCAGTAATGGTAAACGTCTTACCAGAATTAGTCTGTCATGATAAGCGACTACAGTGCATCTCTGCTTAAAATATAAAAGCCATTCTTACCTGACCGTATGCGAAAATGGTGCCATTGTAGCCTTCAAGACAACTTGGAAAGAAATTGAAAAGTATACATGCACGAGAATTAAAGGATTTTAATTGATTATTGTAATTACTTTTCAATGACTGGTCTAGCCACAGTGTCAAATATTTGATCTTGCTTGACTTCGTCGCCAAAAACCTCAGTAAACCTTTTTTAAATATTAATAATAATAATAAATTAAATTAAAATGAATAATTTACTTGAAAGTGAAAACCTCCTTCTTGTTATTGACATATCCATCAGAGGCTAAACGGGGTATTATGAAAGTCAATTTGGGCGTGTCCTCATCTGTACCAATTTCGTAAGACTGTTTGATCAAGTGTTTAAACGAAAGATTATTAAGGGAATTCATTGGGCTGCATTCATGCTACTTACTCCAGTTGCCTTTTTAGTAGGACGTATCCTTGCAAATATCTTGATACTGTATTTCATGGCTGGCCTTTTCCCTTTTCTTCCCTCTAAAGATTATAAAATTAATTATTAGTTGCCATAACAACCCAACCTAATTAATAAATATATGGGCGTGGCTATACAATTAGCCCCGCCTCCAAATAAATCCAGAACTTGCAAGAATGGGTAACTCGAGTTCTATCAATTTAACTGAAGAAGATTACGAGCAAATAAGAGCCGAGACTGGCTGTAAGAGGCCCCTTTACCAATATATGTACCATTATTTATATTTGTAGTCGATAATAGTCAAATCCGTCGCCTCTACTCAAGATTTTCTCACCTAGACAAGAGAAGCAAGGGCTACCTAACGTAAGAAACACACAACAGTACAGGCCAATGACTCTATCTTATCTTATTGTAGTCGCCAAGACTTGATGCTGATACCCGATCTGGCCATCAATCCTTTAGGAACAAGAATCATTGATGTATTCTTCCTTGACGAGTAAGTTGTAACTTTTACGAACTAAGTGGTAGCAACTAGCTAGGTGGGACAGTCATGCACACAGTAGCATGACATTCATCTCCTTTATAGTCTTCAATTTCTATGATGATTGATTGTACACTGTACATGTGTTTTTATATTTTGTTATGTATACGTGCATTACTTTAGAGAGAATTCCAGTCGAGTTGTTGAAGAGGTTAATTTCCGTCAGTTCATACGCACGCTTGCTCTCTTTCATAATAAAAACAAAGGGGATGGTACTACCAGCTGTGATGAAAAGAGGATTGAATGTAAGTGAACTAAGAAGTGATGTAATGAGCACTCCTCTTTCTCCCCTCCTCCCCCTCTCTCTCTCTCTCACTGATGTGTTAGTCTTATTCAAGATATATGACAAGGACAGAGATGGGAAGCTATCAAAAGATGACCTAGCACATGTAAGGATTCATCTATATGTTCACATCCTTTTAAATCGTTAGGATTTTTATGTTCACATCCTTTTAAATCGTTAGGATTTTTATGTTCACATGCTTTTAAATCATTATAATTATGTTCACATGCTTTTAAATCATTCTGTGTATGCAGGTCCTGTCTTGTCTGGTTGGTCATCATATAGCACAGGAGCAGGTCTACTCCATTGTCAAGAGAACAATGAGAGAAGCTGATATCAATGAAGATCAATTTATATCTCTTGAAGAATTTAAACAAGTGAGAGTTGTTGAGAGTTTAAATTCTAAAACTAACCTCCTATTCTTTCTCTCTCTCCCTTTGTAGGCTTTGAAAGATATCGATATTCAGAACAAGATGACATTCAACTTTTCAAGAACATAACAGAAATGAGAATGATAATAATAACAACAATAATAATAATAATAATAATTAATATGATTATAAAAGAACGCTAATGAGAGATAACACAAAAGTTTTTATTACAACAACAAAATATGTTAATAATAATAAGAATTATAATAATAATTAATAATAATAATATCATCATACGGCACACATTGTTGAATAGGTTTTCTGATACATACAGCATCGATACTAAGAAATCTACTGAAGTGTCCATAATAATAATAATAATAATAATAATAATAATAACAATAGTTGTTCTTATATATATATAACAGTAATAGGATGCGAGTGAGAAGTAAAGTAAACTATTGCTATCTATCACCTATTAGACTTTGGAGGTATAGGAGGAGGGCCACCTGTAGGCTTGTCTGTACTAGTAGTTCCAATCTTAGGCGAGAGGCGTGGTGGTAAAATGGGCGGAGCCCCCTCATCTTTATCATACTTAAACACTACGTTCTTTGAATTGTCTTTATCGTTTGGAGGAGTGGCCGATTTTACTGGAGGAGGTGGGCGTGGTGGGGGCGGTGACTCTGATCTGTTAGAACGAGTAGGAGTGAGAGAGGGAGGAGAATAAGAGCGACGAGGGATCGGAGGGGGTAGCCCCTTATCGTTATTGGGAGTGGGCGGAGTCATTACCAACGGGGTGCTCAATCTCGGTGGGCGAGGAGGAGGCTGTGACGAAAAGCTATCAACGGAGAGGCGATGGGGCACTTCGTGATTATGAAGCGACGAATTATTATCCCGTGGTAACATTGGGCTACTACCGTATCTTGGTACCTCCCCGTGTGGAGGAATGGCAGGTGGAGCTACATCGTTGTCACGCGGGAAATTGTGAGGTGGGCGTGGTGGGATATCATTATCCGGTATCTCCGGGGGAAGCCGATGAGGCTTACGATAAGTCAAGTAGGACTCTGGAAGAGACTCGAGTTTAGGAGAATTAGATCGCGGAGGAATCCTGGGTAGAGTAAGCGAGAGAGTTGGAGAGGCAAGATCAATGGCACCTAGTGAAGACGTGTGCGGTAGTTTAGGTGGTATAGGGGGCGGAGTTGGAGCTAACGACTGAGTCTCGCCCAACGATTTGTTATTCTCTTCTACCACTTCAATACTGCTCATTGAAGCTGATGCAGGGAGTAATGGTGCATCTGCACTGACGACTGATATTGTATCATCGTCAAGAGAGGCGGCTTGCTTCTTCTTATCTCCAGGAGTACGTCTTATCGTATTAATAGGAAGGAAATGGGATAGGGTGCCACCTAACTGGCCACCGGCACTTGGAGGCTTTAATTCTCCTTTATAATCTCTGGGCTGTTATGTGTGTGTGTATGTATAACGTGTATTTGTATATGCATGTATGTATGATAGGAGAAATTAAAACAGGTTTTATGAATGAGTGCTCTAATAAATGAATCCAGCAACTCACTGCTTTCTTGTAAGGCTGATCTCTTGGTTCTATCTCCACCGAATGGTCGTACAAGTAATCCTCATACTGATTGTCACCCATGTCTCCTTTTGGATCATGCGACTGAAGGAAGTCTTGGATAGAAGGCTCCGCCCTCAAGCGATAAGGGAAGTTCTGGTATTGCTGGATTTCATGAAGAATATTAGCAATCATACGCCTACAGAGAGAGAGGGAGCGGTGGCGAGGAGTAGAGAAGAAGGAAAAAGTATGGGAGTTAAAATATAAAATAGTGGTGACACACAGGTGCCAATTCTACCTCTTCTTAAAGTTAATAAAATCGTCAGGTTTTCCCTTGATTTTCCCATCATTCCCATCCTTTATAAATACGATCCAGGTCAAATACATACCTGTTAAAATTTGAAAAAAATTGTATAATAATAATCATAATAATAATAATAATCTGTTCATACATATAATTATATACTTACCTACAAAAGGTACACAAGGTGGGTCTATTGATCTCAGCTTCTCTTTATAATTCTTGTATCCTTTATCAGTTGAAGCAACTTGCTGTATCTCTTCAAGGACCTGCTTCCTCTTAGGGGAAATCTCCTACAAACAATGAAATACATTTAATACAAGATAATTATATTAATTTTACTATTACATATACATGTACTATGAAGACAAGTGTACATGTACACATGTACATGTGTACATGTACTAATCAATTTCTGGTGAATAAATATTTTGGCAAACCACCTACTAATTTTTTCATAAAAACAACCAATACATGATTTACATGTACATGTACATGTACATGTACGTGCCATGTATGATTGGCTTGAGAAAGAAGGGGGACTATCCTTATTCATTCCTAACCTTCCAAGTGTGCTTGAGTCTGTAGACCTGAGAGGACTGAAAGGCTGCGTTGAAGGCAAAGAGTGCAGCAAAATTATTCATGGACCTCAATTCCTACAAAATAAAATCTCATGAAATCAAATTAATTAAAATAATTATTATTAATCCTCATTAGCTGTTAATGAGTAGGGGCATCACCCACCAATTACCTCCATTATATCCACTAGTCTGGAGCAGACTGCTACTCTTTCCTCAAAGTTTTCGGTAAACACGATGTGGTAACGAAGCCAGTTGGTGATCTAGTGGTGTGGTGCATGGATGAGTAATAAGAATATGAATAAAATTTACATACAAATGTGCACCGAGTACATTTACACCATCAAAATACAATGTATGATATAATAAAAAGCTCAATATGGTGCACAAAGTTAATATATCCATTACTCTTGTTTTTGGGATGTTGGAAAGGTCACATTGCTCACTCACCCACACATTCAATTAAAGACAGCACCATATATGTAAATCGTACATGTACATACACATGTACTTTTATACATGTAGTACACAAATATGTGTGAAATTATTGAACTGAAGCATTAGTGTGTCATTAGTGGCTGCTAATAAGTCCAACCCAATACTGGGCCAGCTGCACAAACAATGGCATTACACACACACACACACACACACACACACACCCATAGAATAGCATATTTCAATTACATTGATTGAACATTATTGTACTGAATCACTTATAATTGCTAAGTACAGTATATATGCATGCATATATGTACATGAAATATACATGTACCGGTATGTTAACTGTTAACATACTCTTGTCTCAAAGCGGCTCATCTTTAAGAGATTCGGTGAGCTATTCTCCTTCTTGTGCTCCTTGGTCCACGAGGCATCAACAAGTTCGGCTGATTTAATTGCCCTTTAATTACACACACAATAATTATTATATAAAACATATCAACTACACATGTAAACTAATAATGTCATTTCCTTACCTGAAGAGATCAGAGAGTATGAGGGTGAGCTGACGAGCGAATTCAAGTGGATGAAGCTAAGGATTGATAGAAGAGAAATGACAAAGGATTATAAGCTAATGCATAATTCTATGAATATACATGTACATGTATAAAGTACAACTCTGTGTGTGTGTGTGTGATATGCTAACATTTAGTATATGAAACTCATCCCTTGACTTAGTGGCGAACCACTCTATTGGTGGAGGAGGCTCAAAGAAGACTTGATCAGAGCTAGAGGGTATGTGCTCTCCTCCTTCTTTCTGTAGGGGGAGGGGGAGAAAGGGGAAGCATAATGATACGTGTGAACATAATGTCTCACTTTAGACAATGCTCTGTGTATCGATGCTATCCACTTTTGCATGTTCTTTGCTTTCACTGTGCCCACAAACTCTTTCAACTGCTCCAGTACTGAGGGGTCTTGCTGAAAATCATAATAATGATCCTTAACCCAGTGATGCAAGACATTGAGCACTCTATAGGCATAATAAGAGAAGAAGAGGTAAAGATTATAATAATAAGAAAGCTAAGATTACAATATGATAATGAAGAAATAGCTCCATAAAATGTAGATGTACATGTACACATGCAATAAATTCCCAACTTTGAAACAACAACATTTGTCATCATGCAGAGCTCATCGAGTTATGCATGTACATGTACATACATGTACATGTACATGCATGTACATGTACATACATATACATGTACATACATGTGTATGTACATACATGTGCATGTACATACATGTGCATGTACATACATATACATGTACATACATGTGCATGTACATGTATGTACATGTACATGTACCTGAGGTGTATCGGCGATACATAGTTAGCTTTGAATCTCTTGATGGCTTCCCTTTTCAAAGGGTCAATCCTCACGTCTTGATCATTAGGATCAATAGGGAGTGGTATCTGATATCGCTCTATTAACAAATTGAGGAGCTCTCCTGGTTTACAGAAAGAGCGATAGGTCATGAGGAACGTTTGGACAAATGTTGGATCTAAAGAAAGAGAGAGAGCGGTATTATACACCATTACATTATACATGTACAGTATCCCCCTATACAATGTCATGTACAAGCATACAGTACCTGCATATTCATGGAAAGTGAGTCTCTCAACTAGTTTATAAATGTTTCCAGCTTTTATGAGAACTTGATTGTCGCGCTGCTCCTCCTCAAACATAATATTATCGTCAGAGTCCGGCTCGGCAAACCTAACGAACATGTACGTGAACATGGAAGTGTTACATATTGCACATATTTATAAAGAACAACTAGAACATGTACAAGTGAATTTTGGGAATGATAGGTTACACGTACAATATGTTTACATTCAAATGAAAAGACGTGCCAGCTGAGACTTTCACTTTAAAAATATACCAATTATTGGTTTCCCTTCCTATATACAGGTGAAGCAGCTTATGTATACACAACAGAATAACTGTACTTAGACTATAGCTGGGATACACTGAATGACAAAACAAAGTGACAGTAAACCAGAAAAATACATGCATACATGAACATGTACTAACATGTACATGCATCATGAAAAGTCACACACACAGTACATGATTATCTTATAAAATTATGTACTGTATACATGTAGCTGTACATGTACACGTACATGATTATCTTATAACTTATGTACATGTGTTACATGTATGTGAGGAAATATACAATAAAACAAACTAATTATAAAATGAGATAGTAAATGTGGAAATAACTATATCCTCTTGAAGAGAGACTATTCCTAGTATTCGTGTCATGATTATAAGCTGAGGGCATAAACAAACAAACACTGATATCACATTGTACAGACACATGTATACATGCATGTACCATTACAGTATGCATGTATGCACTAAAGGGAAATGTTTCATAATGAGAAATTAATGTGTATAAATTATTGAAAATCTTCAAATTTCACTCACTTAATATGTATGCATAGTACACCCAAACTACATTTACTTTGGCATTAAAAACAATTCAAATATAACTTTTATACAATTATATAATGGTGTTGCCTTAAAATGATTGATTTACTTGTATAGCTTTAGGTCTGGTACCAGGACAGGGATATTGCTCTCCTCATCTCTTAACTTGCTATCAAGCATCCTCTCAAATGGTCTAAAAGGAGGAAGGGTTGGTTATATGTCACAAGACTACAATAAGGTAAGAGAGTACCTCCGAACTAGCAGTATAGTAAAGGCACACATCCATTCATTCTTTTCCGGTGGCGATACAGTAACAAATATATACCCAGGGCTGTCTCCTTCTCTTATTTCAAAGGCAAATTTGAGATCTGAAAGAGAGAGAGTGAGAGAGGGAGGGAAAGTCATGTTGTTGTTATAGCAACAGTCGTCATGGTTCTTACCGTCTGTGTCTTCAAGGTCAATGAGTTGGACCGCTCCTCTCATGTTGATCTTCTCCTTTAGTTTATATTCAGCTGATGATGTAGAAGTGGCTGCCTTTTTCTATATAAATAATATAATAAATAAATGATATCTAATTAAATAATGTGTCATTATTAACTCACAGTCTTACAGCAAAGGACCAAACCGTCCAGTAACAGGACATGCCTGTCCATCTTCTGTCTTGACGACTACATAAATAAACAAATCAATTAAATAATTAAATTAAAAATAAAAAGCTCACCCTTCTTCCTCCTTCTCTTACGAGACACAGTGCACCCTCTAGTGGGTGGAGTCAATCATTACCATAGCAACGGGGCTTACCTTTGACAAGCTCTGTTGATTGGGTATGAATGTCTGATCCCTAAAGGAGAGAGAGAGGGAGAGAGAGGGGGGGGAGAGAGAGAGGGAGAGAGAGGGAGAGAGAGAGGGAGAGAGAGGGAGAGAGAGAGAGAGGGAGAGGGAGAGAAAGAGAGAGGAAGAGAGAGAGAGAGAGGGAGACAGACAGACAAAAAGAAGGAGCATATGTTACACATTACATGTACATTATAGCTCACCTCCCATCCCTCAATCTTTGACTGTAGCTCAATCAGTTTCTTCATTGAGTTTCTGTACCCAACTCTTCTTCCAAATAACCCAATATCCTCCCTAAAGATAACAATGAGTAATAACTATAATAATAATTACAATAAATTCTATATGCAAATAAGATTAGGCTTTATTGTACATGTACATGTACATGTAAAACACACACGTAGTCACATATATGTACGTGTACATGTACATGCATTATACATGTATACTAAAACTGACTCTACTATATGCAACATCAATACAGTACTCATACATGTATGTACATATATACATGTACATGTATCTAAGTTATTATAGTATACTATACATGTACATGTAGATCCAATAATTTTTGGATGCACTCTACCTCTCCCCTCTCTCTCTCTCTTATCATACCTTCTTCTTGCAAGGAAGCGCTGTGACTCTTTTTCAATTTGTAACTTATGAACTAATGTACTACTAATGGCCTGTTGGAGAGAGAGAGAGAGAGATAATTCAAATGAAGACAGATAGAGTTCACTAACAGATTCAAAGGCAATGTAATCATCATTATCCTCAGTTGCTGTACTCATGTGCTACACAATGTAGGAAAGAGAGAAAACAGTACACAAAGAGAGAGAGAGATAATCAAACAAAAACATCACACACATACAGTGTACATTATGCTGCACATACAGTACGTATGATCATATGGAGTACAGATAATTCCAATAGAAACTGTATGGTATATGTACACAAAATAGGCAGTTGAATATGTGAATATGCTTGTAATGCTATTGATTGCTGATGTGTGTGTGTGTCAGTTGCACATATATTCCTCACAAACCATCACAAATACTGCATATATGGATTTGAATATAAGAGTAATAAGACAATGAGTATTTTCCCATACATGTACATGTACATGTACTGGTTGTGTGTTGATTACCTTCATAATTGAGCAGTAGTAAAAGAAATGATAAATAGGCTCTGACAATGCTTTGGGCAATACATATTGGACAGCTTCCTTGAACAGCTTAGGCAGCTCACCTTTATCAGATAAACCCTATCAAATATGTTAATAAATCAGGTGCAGTGAATATAATAATTAAAAAAAAATAATAATAATAATAGTTTAATGAGATGCATGTGCATGATCATTGGCTAACTTTGAAGTAGCTGCAAACTTCAGGATCAGTCAAAAACTCCTCCAGGGCCATGACAGCATTCTGATAGTTCTCAGTGTAATATAAATACGCTGAGAAATCATCACACTGAGAGAAGCAAGGGGAGAGAAAGAGGAAAGAATTAAGTAAGGAAGAAAAATTGAAAGAGAAGGAGCACATGAAAAGTGAGTTGTTTTTTTGGTTGGTTCAGTAGCCTGTAGCTTACTTCAGCAACATCTTCAAAACAGAATCCAATTTGAGGATATCTTGCACCTTCCTCCATCTCACTGGCCATTTCCACCACTTCCTCTACAGAAGCTAATATTTGCACGGACAGCTCGTACACGTCAAACACTGGATCAAATATCATTTCAACTTCATCTGGCGGGAACAACATTGGGTCATTTAGAAACACAGGCTGGACTACCTAATGTGAGAAATAGGGAGGGAGAGGGAGGGAGGGAGGGAGGGAGGGAGGGAGAGGGAGGGAGGGAGAGAGAGGGAGGGAGAGGGAGGGAGAGAGGGAGGGAGAAAGAGGGAGGGAGGGAAGGAGACCAAGGAAGGGAGGGGGAGAGAGAGAGGGAGAAAGATGAAAGAGAGTGAGCATAAAAGAGGAAGGAGCATGAGGAGGAAATGGGAAAGATAGATGGAGAGATAATGTAGTCAAGCAAAGTAAATATGCATATAATATATCAACAGTTTGACATAATGCAATAATATGTACATGTACATTAAGCATAATAGACACACTGCCTAGACAAAGGGGCTACATTGTACCTTTAAGATGAGGTTTAATTGTTGAATGAATTGAGTTTCATTTTCAATCAAGTCTCTTATCAGCTCATCATATTTCATTGAGCTATGATCAGTCTTCACCTACACAATACAGCATATAGTCATAACATATCCATATAGTTATAATAATAAAAAGAAAAGTATAACAGAACAGGACAATTTGTCTCTTTAGTCTAGAGGTTGCCTTAATTGTTCAAAGTTAAGGGCTTTAAGTAAATGACAGTTCAATTACGCTTTAGCAAATGACACTTGAATTAAGTTATGTACATAAATGTGGCATACAGGCAGTATCTCTCTAACCTAGCTCCCAATGACATGAATGAAGGCATTGCCTTGAGATAATAAATATTAATATTCTATCTGATCTGATGTTCTAATAGCAAGGCTGCAAAAGTCGTGGCAGCCATTTTGTTTGGGGGTGAATCCTACTTACATGTAGTAATGCTACCGCGTTACTAATATATAATCCCAAAAATATGCCTCCAACCTCAAAACCAACACACACAACAACTACAAAGTTCACATAAATAACATCATCGTCCCGTCACTTGGCATACATAATATATGTATCACATGTTATCATAATAAGCTAATAACAATTAAAAACCAACTGTCTGTGTACATAATAGTGTGAATGATGGAAAAAGTGTCACTGGATGCATAACTGTAACAATCCAGGAGGACAATACTGTACATGTACCAGTACATGCTTTTACTGACTGTTGCATAGTCTTGCTAAAATAATTATAATATGTTCATGGTAACTTTTAGAAGCATATACATGCATGTCTTATAATCTAAAATGACGAGAGAATGAGCTAAATTATCACAGAGAGTACATGTACCCTTTACATCACAAAACTTTAGCATGTACATGTACATGCACATGTAAAAGTGAATGTGTACATGTACATGTACAGTGTACCTCAATATCTCCAATGTTGACTATCTCAGTAGAGGAAGACTGAAGAGGTCGCTCAAAAAGAGCTTGTAAAGCCTATAACAGATCACATGACATGTCATATGATGCAATCAACATATAAACTCACAGGATCGGCAGACATTGACATTTGAATGTCTTTCATAATTATTATTACGGCTGGCTTACGAGTGTTCTTTACAAAATTACCAGCCAGCTGGGAAAAGGATTCAAAATAGGGCATAACCCAAATCATTACTAACCTTTAAAATGTCTGCAGCAACGTAGTCCAAAATTGCCATTATAAACTGAATGACATTAACTTCTACTTTATACCCGAGCACGTCCTATGTGAGTATCAAGAATAAAACCACACCCACACACGACTCACAATCATCAGTAGATGGATCTTGTCTATAGGAAACAGGAAGACCCCTCTCTTCTTGGACGCCAGTCGCTGGAGTTTCTCTCGAGCTTCATTGAGAGACCAGACGTCAATTGGGTATGCAAAAGTTGCAGATACGTGAGTCTCAACATCTTGTATTGTGTGAGGCTTAGCACCTGAGATACGACCGAGGAGCTGTAGGAGGAGCATCTCAATAAAATCAATGGCTTCATCATCAATATCTAGTCTTGGATGAACCTGCTTCTGAATCTATATGTGACATGTATATAGGTAGGAGAGAGAAAGGAGGGGGAGAGGAAGGAGAGAGGGGGAGAGGAAGGAGAGAGGGGGAGATTGAGAAAAAAAAGAGACCAAATTAAGCTAATCATACATTGGAGGAAAGAGATATGGACAGAGAGAGAGAGAAGGGAGTGTGTATTAAAGGTAAGCTTGGAGACAAGACAAAATACGAAGCCAAGGCAGACCAAACTTTACAATCATTAACTTGTTGATAGGCTGAAATGACAAGTTGGTCGAATTTGGCACGATGATTAGCATAATACACAATAGGCTACGTACAATAAATCCAAAACATGACGTATTCCAAGTACCGAGTTTAAAGCACAAAAGATTAGAGGCAATAATTATGTACACACATGCACAATGCACTAAAACAAACAGAAAATGAAACATTTTACATACCAACACTTCAAAGCATGTGTGGGGAATAAAGGGGAGGAAGAGAAAGAGGGGGAGAGAGAGGGACAATGTGAATAATAATAATGATAATATTCAAGATGATAAAAGAGGCATGGAAGGCTAGGGGGCTACAAGTTTAAAGACAAAAGTTAAGAGAGAACACAATGGTGTAGGTATATATGCTGTATGTATGTATATACATGTTGATCTATAAATGTGCAGTTGATAATTTAAAAGTATTCCTGAACGTTACTTTTCTAAGAGCAGGCGTGAGGAGTCCTTTCCACTTGGAGTCGTTCTCGGGAGAGTTGAAATCCGAATTTTGAGTACTGGTCATCCTGCCCAACAAAAAATAACACCACAAAATGAGACTCGCTTTGCTACTGAGGATGAAAAGCAGGCAAAACTTACCTCCTTGGAACAGATAGAACAAGCAATAGAGAGAGAGAGGACTAAAAGTGGGAAACAAGAGAGGAGAAAGTGGGGGCAGGAAAGATTAGTTAGGTTGACATTGCATCTCTCTGTCTAGCCGTTTCCACTAATTAATCTTAATTAAGATAATTAAGACTCCGCCCATTATAGTTAATTAAAATTATTTTTGCTAAAACATAAAAACAAGAATAATAATGATTAAATAAAATGACATCATTTCTTCCTTTTGGACAGCCTTAGAAGAAATTTGTTGAATATGTTCATTTCTTGGGTGAATTGCGATGAAACAACAGACAATCTGTTACAAAAAAAATCAAAACATCACCATTGATATGCACATTATAGTGTCTCTACTTACTCTTTCATTTGCTTGGAGCTTTTCTCTTGAAGGGATGTCAACGTTTCAACTATGCCACTATCTCTTTCATGGTATACCTAACAAAAATTTTTTACAAAGATTAAGCAGGTACTTTACTATAGCGAATAATACAATTTTAGATGCTGCAAATAGATACAAACATAAATTGGAAACAAAATGCACATTGATGTGTAATGGCACCTTAGCTAGCTCCTTGCTCTCTTGCCATTGCTTCTCAAGGTCAGTTTTCATTTGTTCAAGTCTCCCTATTAGTCTCTTCTCTCTTTCAGCACTACCTTCGCTGTAACTAGCATATCCATTGCATTCTTTCTCTAATTTTTTACTTGCCTAACAGCAATAATAACAATAATTTATCAAGAGATTTTACAGTGTGCTAATGTCCGATTAGAAACAAACTTACATGTGTAGGATTAAAGTATATGAATTTACATGCATGAAGGAGCTTATAAATATTTACAAAAATTAAAAATTAAATTAAAGCTAGTCTGCATTGCTGCATCATAAACTACAAACCTGTAGCTTGATTCTTATGTACATGTACATGTAGCTGGTTGCACAATGGACTTACTTCTCTTATTCTGTCATTGTGGAACAGTATAGTGTTTAGCTTTGTTCTCTTCTCTCTTAGCTTTTCCTCCAAGTCGTCTACTATAACTTTCCTCTCTCTCAAGTTCTTCCTAGCGTAAGTCCTGCATCTGAGTGTCTCCATTCTCAGATGAGCCTAAAAAGTTTTAATTATCAACTAAAGAGCAGGGGCTAACTCATTAGCACAAGCATTATAATGAGTAGTGGCTCACTACTCATAAACATGTACATGTATATTAACAATTATTATTATTATTACTTGTGGAATGTGTATCTTCTCTAGTTCTCTCTCTAGTCTCTGACATGCATCACTTAATCCAGATCTCTTATTCTTTAATTCTGCATTAAATTTTTAAAATATTAAAAATACATAATCAATACTCTTAAATCCTGTACCATACACGTATGCATGCATGTCATGTCATTACAATTATAAATGGTTGCATACCTCTGCCATGCTTCATTGCACAAATACATGCTACCAATTAAGCTGCAAATTGTCACATCATGTACCTATCATGATTCTCTTGGATTCTTCATATTCTTCCATTGCTGAAGCATATTCCTCCTCTAGTGAATCTCTCAATGGCTCTGCCTCTAGCAACTGATCAGTAGCATCTTTAATATCATCTGTTAGTTCAGCAATGCTCTCCTAGCAAAAAATTAATGATCACTATAATCTGAATTCAAATACATTTAGATTTATAAGATGTGCACTTTAATGATCATTACTTCAAATTAATACATTTATATGTATAGGATATAATTATGATATATTTTACCTCGAGAATATTCAGTTGCTCCTCAAGTTGTGTGCTCCTTCTGCTAAGATGACTTTTTCTCTCACTTATTTCTTTATTGAGTCTCTCAATGCTTGTCTCACATTGGCTTATACTATTATCCAGTGTAACTATCTACAAGTGTGTGTAATATATAATTATTTTTTGTAAATAATTAGAGTGATCTAGAGCATTTACTATGTACAAAAATACAATGTAAATGTACAGTTATTTTGTACTTGTTACCTTGCTATGCAATGTATCTCCGGCTTTCTTTGATTCTTTTAATTTCATATTCAATGTCGTCATAATCTCGCTCTGATCCAATAGCTGCTGTTGTATTAAGAGCTCAAGATCTTTGTAATTCTCTTCGGCAGATTGTCTATAATCAATGATAATCAACGCAAAAGTTCATGCAATTTTATGCATTCAGTGTACATGTACATGTACATAAATGAATATGCATTATTACATTTTAATGAGTATTATAGGTAATACACAAGATTTGGCTAAAGACTAAAGGCTAAAGTCTTTGGTCATTGGCCTGATTTTTGAGCAATGTAAAAACCCAATTTTGATCAGAATAAGTATGGGATACATGTATACCTGATTTTATGTTCATGAGCTAGCTTATCTTTATACTCCGTGATTTCTTCTTTAAATAGCTGAACGTTCACTCTTTGAAGAAGAAAAGAAAAGAAAAAAACAAAAGAAAGAAAGAAAAATTTCTTCAACTGTTAGAGTCTTAAAGACTAATATTTACTTGTGGGTTTCTTGTATTTGAGTGAGTCTAAATTCTAGTTCATTTTTCTCAGTCTCCAGCTTCACTCCTTCCTCAGACTCTCTCATCAGTGATTCCTTAGCAGAAGCAACACTGAAAAAAATAATAAAACAGCATAGCAAAAAATAATAATAGATAAATAAGTATAATAAATTAAATAATAATAAAATAGCAAATGCACATGACTATAAGCCCATGCATGGTTTTATCCCAATTTTTGTAAATTATAATGAATGTTGGTGATGTTATGCAAATGTATACCTCTCTTTGACTGCATTCAGTGAGTAAGATATTGAGTCATAGTCCTCATTAGCTACCTTCCATTCTATACAAATAGACAAACACCATTATCATATGCAATATTATGAAATATGATCAAAATACATGATACATGCACTATTTGCAGTATAATTATTACCAGATTTGACTGCTTTGTATACATCTTTTAGTTTCTTGGATTCAGTGTCAGCTAGCTCTACTTCAGCTATCAACTGATTAATGATCTCCTCTGCTTGCTTCTTCTTCACCGAGTGCTGATAACCAAATAATTCCATGTCTTTCTTAATCCTTTCCCTAAAATATAAAAAATAATAGAAAGAAGATGTACCTTTTTTGCATGCACATTATGCCTTACCCATCTTGGATTAATGATCGCTTTTCTACTTCTTTTGACATTGCTTCACTCTTAAGCTGATTCTGAGTAACAATCAATGATGAAATTTCTCTTTTAACATTCTCTATGGACGCTACCGACTCTTTAACAGATAATTCAACTTGAGCTGATTCATATTCTTCAACATGAAGATCACTAGAGGCAGCGAAGTAAGTAAAAATAATAAAGTTATATATATAGCATCATTCTCTTCTTCAGTTCTTTGTTCTCTCTCCTTTGTCTGATATCAATTTACTTTTTAAGATCTCTATTTTCTTCATTTTGTTGATTTAATTGCATTTTAGTACCTTCCTATACAAGTTTATGATGACATATATTTTTTGTAATACATGTACATGCTCAGTGAAATATCATACATATTGTTTTATCATTTAAAAAATAATATTTTATATACCAAAGATTTCAAGAGCTCTTCTCTTTCTTTGCTAATGTGCTGTCTCTTGAGCTTCAGGTTGTCCTGAAGTATATGAATCTCTTCCTCTATGTCTAAAATCTACATATACAATACATTTATAATGAATGGTAGCTCATTCTTATCATTTTTGTTTGCATTGTATGTACTTTAGAGCCAGTGTCATCTAATTGTTCTATTGTCTCATTTAGAAAAATCTGCATCCTAAATTGAAATAATAATTGCAAAAATAAATAATCATAGTGTAAAGTTTTTTTAATCATAAAAACACTAAATAGTATAACTCACCCTGCTCTCTCCAACATCTTCTCATTAAGTATCTTTACTTTATCCGAATGTGCTGCCTGCAGTTGCTTCAGTTGAGGACTGAATGAAGGAATGATTGTGTTGATATATTATTAAGAATAATGTTATTATTACATACAGAAGGACGTCATTGTGGAGGCCCACCACTTCGTGCCTTTTTAACAAAGATGATGCCTCCTCACTCATTAATGTGACTTGAGTCTATAACAATTATTCATAGTAACATTAATAATAATCATTGATGTGTTCAATCACTAATAGAGTAGTAGTGGGGGATAAAAATGTAATGCAATACTTTGCATATGCTGCACAAGTATGATATATCTCTCTACCTGCAGTTCTGATAAACGAGCTTGATTTGACTGCCTTGCTGAAATTACTGCAGCTATAAGACAAATGCACAATTAAAATGTCATAATTTCATTATTTCATAATCTCATACCAGCAGCCTCAGCTTGTAATTTCGAAACATGAGTGTTGAGTTTATGACGGAGTGCACTGGCCATTATAGTTTCGCCTTCAAGCAGTTGGTGAGCATGCACACGTATCTTATCCTAGACTAGTATCAATATGGGTGCTATCATTAGACTATTTACCAGCTCTTTCATGGCTGAAATGACTGAGTTAGCACTAGCTCCAAACTCCTCTGCAAAGAGGTATCTGTTCTCTCTGAGCTGTTTGCCTAATAGAAAAAAGTTTTTTAATGATTCCTTATCACAGAACCTACCCAAGTCTTCTAATTTGTCAACAATGTTCTTAACATCTGTTGAGAGTTTTATTGTAGTGGCAGCCATTTTGATGTTTGGTTACCATGGAAATCTAAAATTAACCCTTTCTAGACTAGATCTAAGCTTTATAGTAACACGGAGATAGATCTATACGGAACCCGCCAAATGGAGGACTGGAGGTAGTATCCGGAAAAACACGTGTATCACTGCAGAGGATGTCTCGTTTTGTTCCTCTCTCTGAAATGCAAGAAGATGAACAGAACGAGGAGGAGACAACAATACAAGAGAAAGTAAGAGAGACCAGACACTCAGTTCTAATTTGAAGTATTTTTGTAGGTGATAGCTTTAATTAATGAAGCTCAACTAGTGAACTCCAATGACAAGAAACTAGTCTGTCTCAATCAGGTTAGCGGTCATTAACAGCAGTATTAGATATTACTATATAAATCCATGCGAAAATTAATTTTATACTTAATTAAGTTTAGTGGGTGTGGCTATTTTATTAATTACTTTTAATTAATAGGTTCGGGAGTTAATAGTTAACAAGGATCCCTCGTTACTGGACAGTTTCTTTGAAGTAATAACAAATAATTTAATATTTGATATTCGTCCTTTTCTAGGAAGTAGCAGCGTTTCAACAAGACAGGTCCGTGGACGTGAGAAAATTTGTAATAGCGTTTATTGAGACAGCATGGTAATACATACATTCATTTATTTATGTATAACTAATCGATCTATTGCTTTTGTTATAGTAAGAAGGATTGCCATTACCTAATGCGTTCGATACAGATAATACGTTACATTATGAACGACTCAAACGTAACGACAGAGAAGAGATCCATCAGCTGCTTCATTCAGCTTTACCGCCTCTCCCTTCAAGTTAGTGGGCGCGGTCAGTTGTTGGGCGTGGTCATTATTAGTCGTGCTAATTCTTAGTATTTAGTGAAAATGAAAACGGCCAAAAAGGAGGAGCTTGACATGTGGGAGGTATTCTATATAATGCCCGTTTAAATTGGAAGCCATTTTTCATAGATACTCAAAGAAGTCAAGTTGGACATTTGTTCGAAATTACATGGGGAAAACGACGGGTTAGATGCAATTGCCTGTTCTAATTAACGAGCACTTCGTCTTTAGATTGAGGACTATGGTAATCAAATTCATAGAGACTGTCATTATACTGCAAACAAAGAAAGAGCCGGTATATTATACGGCCATTTAAATATTCTTATTTTATCATTATTATTGATAGCTTTCTGAGCCCCCCAGAGCTGTAGAGCTGGAATTCTCCTTAGACATGGTATTATTGTATTGGTGTGTTTCTATTTAATGAGCACCTTCACCCTTTCATATTATAGGTCCCATTGTCCCATCCAATACTAAAGCAGTCAGAGTTACGTGAAGAGTCGGGTATACTGTTAGTACAGCTGCTGGAGCTGACAGGGTTTCCTAGCATATCAAGGTAACTCATGATATATAATACATCTTCCATTTAATCTTCATTTTCTTTCTTTGGCCTTAATTTCCTCCTCTCTCTCTCTCCTTCTCTCTTAATTCTCTCAGTGTTAATTTGATGACGTGTATCAGCAGTTTGTGTGCCATTGGTCGTCAGAGACCATTGCATATAACAACCGTCATACAGACCTTTGAAGTATTACAAGGTACTCATGCAACTATTATTATCTTTTATTTTAAAACCATCTGCTCTTTCTCTTGCCCTCTCTCTCTCTCTCTCTCTCTCTCTCTCTCTCTCTCTCTCTCTCTCTCTCTCTCTCTCTCTCTCTCTCTCTCCCTCTCCCTCCTTTAGCTAATCTTCCTCCTTCTTTCACCAGTTCACAGATCAGCAGTGTCACTAAGCACTTGAAGGTAGCTACACCCACTAACCACCCACTCATATTATTAATATATTTCAGAGTCAGCTGCTTGGTGTCTTACGTCAGCCTGGCTCACGTGAGTATAATTAGTGGGTGTGGTCATATGTGTTTTATTATACATACCTTAGTCGAGTGTCGTCCACAAATTGTTACATTACTGACTGTACTTGGTGCTCCACAGTCAGAGGTAACCATCACAACAATGTGCGAATGATGTCATTATTATTGTTTCTAATTATAGATTTCTAAAAATACTCCAAAAGATGTCAGCCTGGCCAGCAAACGTACAAGGTCAGCATATTTATTAATAGTTATTATTATTGTTATTATTATTAGAAGTGATAATGAAGGACTTCACTCAAAGAAAGCTAAGCTTGATGAGTCAGAAGAAGGGGAGGAGTTTAGTTCCCGTGGCAACATATTAATGGAAGCCATTGAATTGACAACTGCCGGTAAGTAAACTGCTTATTTCTATTTCATTTTATGGTTATCTGTTCTTAGATCTGAAGCCTCTGCTGACAGTGGAGTCCGTGGTTGAGCTAGTCATGCTAAGTATGAGTAACCTGCCACGCCTTCTCCCTAGAAGCTTCAGTCATTCCTTCACTCCAATTGCAGCTGCCGGGAACGACGCTCAGGTGTGATACATGTACATGTACATCACGGAATTTTTATTTTTAATGGGCTAGGGGCATGTTGAGATTTAATTAATGTTTTTGATTCAGGTGACCCAGTTGGCTCGTTTGTTGGCATCTCAAATGACAGCAGCTGGTATTGGTATTGGTGCTCAGACTAAAGGACTCAAACCCTCCCGGGTAATGATGTGTGGGCGTTGTATTATTTAGTCTAATTAATGCACAGAAAGGGGAACGTCCTGTTGTGTCTGACCCTCGTAGTGGCATACGTGAGCCGACGCCCGAGGAGGAAAGGGAGAGGGAGATCCTGGAGAGAGAGAGACTGGGTAAAGACAAACAAGTGGAACAAGATGAAACAGTAAGAGCCACCAAATGATTGACATTATTATACACTTATGTAATATGTACGTCAACTCACTTTTTACCTTCTTTATACCCCATTTTTAATTTTCATTCTTTCCATCCTCTTTATCTATAAAGGATCCTGCTGATTTAGCCAAGAGTCTTGCTGAGCTATCATATTTAGGTTCTTTGCTTGGCCTGCCTGATATAAGGGACCCTCAGTTTCCACTGGCGTATTCCGCATTCTTTGGTACCGAGCCAATGGAAGTCCTTCCAACTGCCTCTACTGGTGAATCATCTCATAGCAACGTGAGCCTGTACTAGTCATGTGATCATTAATGCACCTCTTTTTTTCAATTGTAGTTAATTGTTATTAAAAAAGAAAATGATGATACCACATGTAAGCTTTTATTTATTTATCTATTTATTTGTTTGTTTGTTTTGGTAGCGCCAAAAGAGGACGACTCAAAATGGCGTCAGTCTCTTGCCGTTCCACAGAAACTGAAGAAGATAAGGGCCTTTGACCTCTCGTCGATAGTGAAGCCACTGCCAATGAATGAGCAGGAAAGACTCAGCGTGGCTGCCTTTAAAAGAATACTAGCAACTGAAAGTGAGAGAGATACTAGTACATGCATAATACATGTATGTACATGCATAAATATGTATGTATGTATGTACTATAATAATTTTAAAATTCACTATTATAATTCTTTGATTGCTATACATTAGCTGGTGGATCAAGCACTGTATTATCTCAGGTAATCACAGTAGTCTCATGATAGTCATGTGATTCTCTTTACATGTATATACAGGCTCGTACTAAACTTGTTATTCATCTGGTCACACAGTTTGGTGGTGAATTTAATAAAGGTATGTATGTTTTTGATAATAATTTTAAACTTTATTTCTTTCAGCTCTTCTTGTTTTCATTCTTGAGGATCTTCGCTCTCATTTTGATCTCGCCTTGTCTTGGCTCTATGCCGAGTATTGTATCGAAGAGCAGCTTTTAACCACACCCACTTCAGGAACCTGTCAGTATGAGAACTGTCTGATTGGGTTAATGAGTGGAGCAAGAGACAAACTGGATAATAGAGACAGGTACAATTTAATTATAGATGCATACCATGTAGATCCTATTTTCGTCAAAAACCCCTCTCTGTGATGATGACCTTCTCTCTTTAGACTATTCACTCGTTTAGTACTAGAAGCTCCTAAAATCACGCCCAATGCATTGTCAATAATTAAATCATATTGTAGAGACGAGGTAAGTGTATAATATACACAAGTAACGTTATGTTGTTTATTTTTGTATTAGGAAAGAGCGTTTCTTGGTATCACCACTCTACGTGATCTGATACTTAAGAAGCCTCAGGGATCTGGGGATTTCATAGAAGCACTTCTCGACATCACAACCAGTGATTTGGAGATGGTGGGTGTGGTTTTTGTAGGTGTGGTTATGGGCAGGTTTTATTATTGCAGGCTCGCCTTCAGTCACTTCATATAGTGAAGAGGTTTTACTCAAGACCGAGTCTTTCCATGAGGATAGAAGTGAGCTCAAATTAATTAATGATAATTAATGTACTGTATATTATTATACTGTATTTTGAGTAACTTTAAAAATTCGTAAAAAATCTAAATTTGATTGGAATCAGTTCAAACTTGCTACACAACATAAGAACATGTGTATGTATCAGAAAAATTATAAAAATGGAAAATTCTCAACTTTTCATTTTTGGTGAAATTTGGCAAAAATCCCTGTACTATAGTACAGGGACTTTGGCCCGATTTTGGAGCATCTTTAAAAATTCATAACAAATCCAAATTTGATTGGAATCAGTTCAAACTTGTTACACAACATAAGAACATGTGTATGTATCAGGAAAAATTATAAAAATGGAAAATTCTCAACTTTTCATTTTTGGTGAAATTTGGCAAAAATCCCTGTACTATAGTACAGGGACTTTGACCCGATTTTGGAGCAACTTCAAAAATTCTTTTTATTTGTTTTTAGAAATACTCTATCAGGTCATTGCAGAAATTGCTATCTGATCATCCCTCCTTTCAGAGCGACACTGAACTTGGTATAATTATTTAATTTCTTTTTTGATTATAATAATTATCATCATACTAGAGGTGGCGTCTGAATGGACTGAAGAATCTATTAAGATTTGTTCTGGCCTCTTCCTTTCTCTTTTACCAATTAACACGAAATTATTGAAAGAGTTAGCATTTTTACACCATCTCTTAATGTCTCTTTCTATTCTGTCTCTCCTCTCTCTTGTATTATATCCTCTTCTTTAATTCACAGATTAGCCATTGTCTATACTAACACAATACCAACTGTTAAGAGAATAATGCTCAAACTCATTGATCAACCAGTAAGTCACATGACTTCAGTACGCATCACATGACATCAGTACGCATCACATGACATCAGTACACATCACATGACATCAGTACACATCACATGACATCAGTACACATCACATGACATCAGTATGCATCACATGACCTCAGCACGCATCACATGACATCAGTACGCATCACATGACATCAGTACACATCACATGACATCAGTACACATCACATGACATCAGTATGCATCACATGACATCAGTACGCATCACGTGACATCAGTATGCATCACATGATGTCATCACTAGGTTCGCTCGATTGGTATGAATTCTCCAGAACTGTTAGAATTGGTTGAGAAGTGTCCGGTGGGAGCTGAGACTCTAATTATGAGGATATTGTATATTCTGACAGAGAAAGGTTCAAATTATTTCTTAGCGGTATCATTATGACATCTTCGTTTTTAGCAATGCCTTCATCTGAATTGGTAAAGCATGTGAGAGAGTTGCATAAACGGAATTCAAACGACGTTCGATTCTTAATTCCTGTTCTTCATGGCTTGCAAAAGGCAAGTGCTTATAGACTTTTTTATTATTTATTTTATTTCTTTAGTCTGAAGTGATAGCTGCCCTACCCGAGTTCATTAGACTCAGTCCTAATGTCACCAAAGGAGTTTTTGACAGACTCCTAACATCATCAAAAGGTATCATACCACATCATGTGACTATCATGTGATCCTTACTATCCTACAGGTGAGAGTAACATTAGTATGAGTCCAATATCGCCTTCGGAGTTATTGATTGCACTACATAATATTGACTGTAGGGGAGACGATAATCTGATGAAAGCTGTAATAAGAGGTTGGTATATTGTTTTAATGTATATCAGTTGATGAATGTTACTTGCTATGGTACATGCATGTGCATGTAAAAACCTGCAGATAAAACTGCAAGATTTATGATTCACAAAATTACATGTAATGTACATGTACATTAGAATTTTCTTAATAATTACTCTTAAAATTTGTAGCTACTGGCCTGTGTTTTGCTGAAAAGGGAGTCTACACTCAAGAGGTACTGGCAGTAGTATTGCAGCAGCTAGTTGATCAGACTCCTATACCAATACTATTCATGAGAACTGTAAGTCTATTATAAAAGTGACTACATGAAGTCGATGCACAAGTTAATGTGCAATTATTCCATTTCTTTAGGTCTTGCAGAGTTTAAGTCTCTGCCCAAGACTAGCTAACTTCATCCTAACAATCCTTACTAAACTGATCAGCAAGCAGGTAATGAATCCTCACTTTAGAATATTTGTTTTCCTTGGCAGTTATATAATATGCTACTTATGTTGTATTTTTAACATTTTTTAATTTTTAGGTTTGGAAGCAGTCTAAAGTATGGCAGGGTTTCATAAAGTGCTGTGAGGTCTGCCCCTCTCATTAGTTCCACTAATTAATGTCTTCATATACCCATGCATGTCTAGAGCTTAAAGCCACACTCTTTCCAAGTGATCTTGCAATTGCCTCCGCAACAGATGGAGGAGATTTTGAAGAGTAGCCAGTCTCTACGTCATCCTTTTGCTGCTCACATTAAAGAATTAGCTCAAGTTAATGATAAAAGTGTTGTTTTAAATACTTATCGTCTTTCTTTTTCTTCAGAGAGGATCTGTCCCCAAATCTGCCCTTCAAATTATGGAACGATTGACCAGCTCATAAATGTGAATTGTCTGTGACATTTTTTAATTACAAAAAAACGAAATAAATAATTAATATTATTAGTTCGCGAGCTCCGCCCATTCTTAAGATGGCTTTTTGCAGTGCTTTGTTGAATGGTCGTTTCTGTTCCTCTCGTTTGTCTCCTCTGATAAGTGAGCGGTCATTAGCGACTAGCCATCATGCTGCCTGGTACAAGGAGAGCTTGGAGCATCCTGAGGAGTTTTGGGGGCGACTAGCAAGAGAGAGACTCCGTTGGATGAAGCCTTTCACTAATGTTATGGATTGCTCATTGAAAGATGGACACTTTCGTTGGTTTGAAGGAGGAAAGCTAAACATGTCAGGTAACTTTTGAAATAGGCAATAATGCAATCTATAAATTCATTTTAAAAATTGTAAAAGTTCATTTGTATTTTGCATAAAAATTTTACTTGGTACTAAAAAATAATTATTAATTGTAAAAGACTTTAAAGTCAAGTTGAACAAAGTGTCATTAGCAAAATTTATGCTCATTTTGTTTTATTATAAACTTAGTCTCTATGCTTTATCTATTTCACTATAGACAATTGTCTTGATCGAATTGTTGAGAAAGACCCTGATCGTTTGGCATTAATTTGGGAGAAGGATGAACCAGGACAGCAGGAGTACATCACATACCAGTGAGTGAATAAATGAATAGACCATATTGTTCAACAATATATAATACATAGCTCTGTACAAGCCATGTTTCTTGCAACGATTAAAAATTATTGTAGCTCATACTTGTAAATTGACATGTTGTACTTTAATTTTGTTAGAGAGCTCAAAAATTTGACTTGTCGAGTGGCCAACACACTCAAGTCCCAAGGTGTCAAGAAAGGAGATGTGGTTGCTATTTATATGCCAGTCTCACTAGAAGCAGCTGCTGTGATGTTAGCATGCACTCGTATTGGGGCAGTACACAGGTACAGCTGGAGGAAGAAATTCTTATTTAAAAATTATATTTCTCTCTTTTTTTTCTTCCTTTCTCAATTGCATATAGTGTTGTATTTGCTGGCTTTAGTCCAACAGCACTTAAGAATAGGATACTTGATGGTAAGAATATAACTTCTCTTCTTTATTATTTATACCTCTTCTCTTTAAATTCTCTCTCTCTCTTCCTCTCTTTCTCTCTCCTTTAAACAGCATCAGCAGAGACTGTCATTACGACAGACGAGGGAGTAAGAGGAGGAAAGACAATCCCACTCAAGCAGACAGTGGATGCAGCTGTCTCTGATTGTCCTTGTGTTAAAAGAGTGTTGGTAGCCACTCGGACTGGAGCCGATGTAGCCATGAAGGATGGCAGAGACTATAAACTAGATGAACTGATGAAAGGAGAATCCCCAGAGTGTCCTCCTGAACCTATGGACAGTGAGGACCCATTGTTCATGCTATATACTTCAGGCAGTACTGGTAAACCTAAGGGGATCCTTCACGCACATGCTGGGTATATGCTCTATTCTGGACTAACACAACAAGTAATCATTATAAAAATATTTAAAATATAATACTCTTTTTGTTGTTTTTTGCTTTTGTTGCTAATCTTTGTTGATGTTCTTTGCTTTTGTAGCTAATGTTTGTTGATGTTTTTATCTTATATCTTACTATTATTAATATACTTATTTTATACTTCTTTTATTCTTTAGTATGTATTTGATTATAAAGTTGGTGATATATTTGCTTGTGTTGCTGACATTGGTTGGATAACTGGTCACTCTCATGCACTCTATGGCCCACTCATTAATGGAGGGACATCGGTTTTATTTGAGAGTCTACCGATATATCCTGATCCTGGTAAAGTTTTGATAGATAAATTCAATTTTTTGTTTAATTATTTTTTAAGGTCGGTACTGGGAGATGGTTCAGAGGCTAAAAGTGACCCAGATTTATTTGGCTCCGACTTCACTTCGACTATTACTAAAAGCAGGCGATAGTTACGTAAAGAAATATGACAGATCAACTCTAAGGACTCTAGGATGTGGTAAGAGCATAATAAGATAATACCTGTTATATCTCTGCTATGTGTATGTGTGATTATATTTTTAGTTGGTGAGCCACTAAATGATGAAGCTTGGAGATGGTATCATAAAGTGGTGGGTGAAGAGAGATGTACTGTTGTAGACACATGGTGGCAGACTGGTAAGAATCATGAACTAAATGTGCATTGTTTTGCTAATATTCAAAGTGTAACTAAACTATTATCATAATGCATAATCTATTTGTATTACTATTATAGAGACAGGAGGTATCATGATAGCACCACGTCCATCTTCCTCTGACTCCACTCCTAAAGCAGGATACCCTATGAGCCCATTCTTTGGTATTGATCCAGTCCTCCTTGATAACAATGTTAGTTATTTAGCAATGTTAGTTATTAACAATGACATGTAGTTATTAACAATGCTAGTTATTATATCATATTATTATTAGTTTATAATTTTTGGGAATATGAATCTGTTATAATGTTGCTAATCTGCATTTGTCTTTCTTTTTCCCTTTCTTTTTCCCTTTCATGTGAAATAGGGTAAAGAAATAACTGGTAATGATGTCAGTGGAAACCTTTGCATCAGAAACCCTTGGCCATCCATTGCTAGGACCATTTATGGTGATCATGAGAAATTCCTTAACACATACTTCACAAATTATCCTGGTAAGAGTTCCACAATCATTAAAAGCTAGCAACATGCAAAATAAATAGGGATATGGGCTCAAATTTTATATTTATTTTGCAAAAATTATGGCTCAAAATGACCTAATATGCAGCAAAATGTAAAATATGGACACACAATGGTTTTAGCAGCAAGTCGTATACTGAGGATCAGTTATTAATAGTCTATTATTATGACATCAGTTGACTCGCTTGAGGATTCTATTGCATAGTTTCTTCTTTGATGCTCTTCTTCTTGTTCAATGTTGTTAATGGTGTGGTTCTCTGCTATATGATGGATATTAATCTGGACCTCTCTCACACGTAACTTGTATCTTTTAGCAAGAAGCAGAAAAATTATAAGACAGATTGCAGTAAAGATGGTCCTTGCAAGGAGATAGTAAACTCCATGGCCCAATGAAACCTCTGGGCTTACATAATGAAGAAATGGAAAAAATAAAGGGTATTCTACAAAGCCTTTTATATTTCGAATGCAGAACCATAATCCTATTATTGTTCCTCTCATTGACTTGGGACACTGAGCAAGTATAAACTCAACCAGCACAATATAGACTATATACCAAATAACTGATTCAATGATATTGCTAAAAAACATCCATTGAGGATAAATAGGGTATGAATTTTTATCATAAACAGTGAGACAGTTAAACATTCGTCCAAAATGATAATTACCAATGACTGCTAGACCAGTGTAAAGAATATTAATAAGAACTATTAGTACCATACCCATTCCTATTCTCTTCAGCATACTAGGAATGTAATTATGAAAACATGGATATATGAGAAACTGGTGGAGGAAAATTATTAATATATAAGATACACAAGCTGATAAATCATGATTACTTGGGTTATTGCACCCATATATTTCAAGCTTTAGTCCTTGGGTGCATTCATAAATTGATCCTGATGCCACAGTACAGACAATCACTAGTGGAATTAATCTAAGAACAGTCTTTACATCTTCTACCTCTTCTTCTGTGAATGGTCCACCATATTTATCCTTACCCAGGTCTAGTCTTGAAGGAGCCTCTTCCTCCCAGTAGGTCAGAGCACTACGATTCTCAGGATACTTGTGCTTCCTGGCATAACACAATACTCTAACTATCAGTTTGACTGGATTAACTGTATTCACTGGAGTAGTATCAAGATAATGATTGAAGAGACTATGACTGATTAGTACTGCTCCAACACACACAATGCTTGCTACTAACATAAAGATCATCACATTATTTTGTGTAACATGAAATAGATAAGCTCCATCAGCAATTGCATTAGCAATTACAGGTCCCATATTATGCCAGTGTATGATAGCAGTTAGTTCACCACTTGATGATCCAATGAGCTGATCAATATTGAATGGTAAAAGATTAACACGTACAACTGTGAAAGCAATCATTGTTAATGTATAAAGAACCACCAGTAGGTATTGTGTGTGAGTATATGAGGGTAGACATGTAATGATGATTATCAGAGGCACCAATAGAATAAATGTAATGTATGATCCAACCAGAATAAACCTGTACCTGCTTACTAAGACTAAGAAATCTCCAAAATAGCCAGAAATAAGAAAAACCAAACTAACCCCCAGGGCAACAAAGAAATAGAAATCACTGAGAGTGATAGAGAAAGAAGTAATGTCTATGATTAAATTCATAGCAAGTGAAATCATCATATCCCAGAATAGTACCAGTAGTGCTCCCTTAGAATGTATGAACTGGAAATGATAAGAGGAAGGAGAGCATCTTCTCCTTCTACTAGTAACTGATGGTCTCAATAAAGGAACACTCTCAGACATGATGAAGGAAAAAAGAACAGCAAAACTTCTACCAATTGGTGCATCACTGAAGTCTTCATTTTATAATTGGCTAAATACTATCATGAGCATTAGACTGTGTGGCTTCATAAGGAACTATTGGTAAATAACTCATGAAATTGAAAATGGTAGAGAGCAGCTTTTTTGCTCAAGTGTAGTAGAGAGATCTACACACAAAACATAAACAATGCTAATTATAATAGCCAATAGAGATAAACAATAATAACAACAACAACAACATTGATAACCAACAGAGACAAACAATTAATATAGCAGTGTCCTTGGCATATCAATTTGTGCAGTTATCGTTTCCTTTAATAACTATTGACCCTTGACCTGTTGAGAACTGCCAGTTAAGTTTTTGCCTTACCAGACTTCCAACAGGTATTACTATCACAGTATCATAAGTCAAACATCATTGTAATCATAAACACTAACTGGTATATGTAGTGAGGCCCCAGGATATAATTGTGCTTTAAAACTTGTTTCATCATTTCAAAAATAAATCAATATTGCCTTTAAAGAGATATATCTTTTGGAGATAAATTTTTTAAAATTTTCCAACAAAAATTTTGGCAAGATGATTTTTTATGTTCTCCTGCTATAGTGTAGTTATAGGTTTGATGAGTATATAGCATCACCAGCAAGTGTGGCAGTGTTATTAGCAAGATATAAACTAATATCAGTATCACTAACACTGCTTGTGGCAATTGTCACAACTAGCGTATATGGCTCCTCCTAGTGATTAAGCAGCTAGCATTTTTTATAAAGTTAACTTTTAGTTTGTTAATAAAATGAAATCCACTGTTATATTGCAACATAAAGGCTGAACCATGATTGGCAATGTTATTAATAAAAATTGAGATTTCTTGTGGTGTAGCATTAGATCCTATGATTCTAAATACAGACCCATAATTGTTTATGAATTTACCTGGATGAGAAATGATCAAATTTGATATTAATTTTACAAATAAACTATACTTTTAAAATGGCCCAATATACACTAAATGAAAATAATAGACACACAATGTAAATTTATAAGTTTTAGCAACAAGTCTTGTACTGAGGATTAGTTAATATTAGTCTATTATTATGACATCAATTGACTCGCTTGAGGATTCTATTGCATTTCTCCTCCAATATTCTTCTTCTTGTTCAATGTTGTTAATGGTGTGGTTCTCTGCAATTTGATGGATGTTAATCTGGACCTCTCTCACACGTAACTTGTATCTTTTAGCAAGAAGCAGGAAAATTACAAGACATAATGAAACAAAGATAGTCCTTGTGAGGAGATAATAAAACCCACGACCCAATGGAACCTCTGGATTCATATAATGAAGAAATGGAAGGAATAAAGGGTATTCTATGAAGCCTTTTATACTCCGAATGCAGAGCCACAATCCTACCATAATTCCTCTTATTGACTTGGGACACTGAGCAAGTATAAACTCAACCAGCACAATATACGTGATATACCAAATAAATGATTCAATGATATTACTAAAAATTATCCATTGAGGATGAATAGTGTATGAACTTTCATCAAAAGAAGTGAGACAGTCAAACATTTGTCCAAACTGATAATTACCAATGACTGCTAGACCAGTGTAAAGAATATTAATAAGAATTATTAGTACCAGACCCATTCCTATTCTCTTCAGCATACTAGGAATGTAATTATGAAAACACGGATATATGAGAAACTGGTGGAGGAAAATGATTAATATATATGATGCATAAACTGATAAATCATAACTATTTGGGCTACTGCACCCATATAATTCGAGCTTTAGTCCTTGAGTAAATTCATTAATTAATCCTGATGCCACACTACAGACAATCACTAGTGGAATTAATCTAAGAACAGTCTTCACATCTTCTACTTCTTCTTCTGTGAATGGTCCACCATATTTATCCTTACCCAGGTCTAGTCTTGAAGGAGCCTCTTCCTCCCAGTAGGTCAGAGCACTACGATTCTCAGGATACTTGTGCTTCCTGGCATAACACAATACTCTAACTATCAGTTTGACTGGATTAACTGTATTCACTGGAGTAGTATCAAGATAATGATTGAAGAGACTGTGACTGACTAGTACTGCAGCAACACAGACAATACAAATTGCTAACATAAAGATCATCACATTATTTTGTGTAATATCAAAAAGAGAAGTTATATCCTTAATTGCATCAGCAATAGCAGGTCCCATATTATGCCAGTGTATGATAGCAGTTAGTTCACCACTTGATGATCCAATGAGCTGATCAATATTGAATGGTAACAGATTAACACGCACAATTGCAAAATTAATCAATGATAATGTATACACAACCAACAGTAGGTATTGTATATATGTATATGAGGGTAGACATGCACTGATGATTAATATAGGAATCAATAGAATAAATGTAATGTATGATCCAACCAGAATGAGCCTGTACCTGCTTACTAAGAAATCTCCAATATAACCAGAAATAATACAAACCAGACTAACCCCCAGGGCAACAAAGAAATAGAAATTTCTGAGAGTGCCATCTAACTGAAAAATTTCTGTATTTAAATTCTCAGCAAATGAAATCATTAGATCCCAGAATAGTACCAGTAGTGCTCCCTTAGAGTGTATGAACTGGAAACGATAAGAGGAAGGACAACATCTTCTATTAGTAACTGATGATGATCTCAATAGAGGAACACTCTCAGACATTATAAAGAAACAAGAACAGCAAAACTTCTACCAATTGGTGCATCACTAAAGTCTTCATTTTATAATTGGCTAAATACTATCATGAGCATTAGACTGTGTGGCTTCATAAGGAACTATTGGTAAATAACTCATGAAATTGAAAATGGTAGAGAGCAGCTTTTTCGCTCAAGTGTAGTAGAGAGATCTACACACAAAACATAAACAATGCTAATTATAATAGCCAATAGAGATAAACAATAATAACAACAACAACAACATTGATAACCAGCAGAGACAAACAATATTTTGTGTCCTTGGGATATCAATTTGTTCAGTTATCGTTTCCTTTAATAACTATTGACCCTCGACCTGTTGAAAACTGCCAGTTAAGTTTTTGCATTTATGTGACAGTATTATAAGTCAAACTATCATTGTAATCATAAACAGTGACTAGTATATATAGTGAGGCCCTGGGATAAATCAGTGCT